ATCTGTGTGGTGTTATGTGAAACACACACACACACACTTTCCTTTTCTCCGTATGAGAATATTTCCTGCTTCTTATTTTGAAGTCACTCAGCGGTGAACCTTAATGAGAAGTGAAACAGGTTACGCTTGCTGTTAGTAGATCGGTGTGGTACGTCTCCTTTTTTTTTAGATGGCCAGCTTGTGACTCAGGTCAGAGAATCGGATGAATTTTGACTGATTTCCATCATGGCCGAAGTGTTCCTCGATTATTGTGCTGGATTGTGGTTTCTATGCCTTACCCCAACACCTGGGATAATTGTTGAATAGCTGAGCATATCCAGTGGGAGGCATTTTTACCTGTCCCGTTATGACTGTCAATGTCAGAAAGCCTTGTCAGAAACACTAGATGTTTGACTAAAGTTCACAGTTTAGGATAACGCCTTTCTCTTTAAAGGTGGCACTCAAACTGTTTTTAACGGTTTTGATCTGTAAAGCTGTTGCGAAATGGATGTTGTGCTTTATATGAGAAAGGCTTTGCTAGTTATTTTCAGCAGGTGATAACAGTCAGAAGTGGGCGAATCACAATCGATTTCCCAGACAAATATTTTGAAGTATGGCTGAAGGATGAAATGTGCCTTTACTGTCACTGGATGCAATGCTGAATTTGCTGTGATCTGGTCATTCTTCGCTTTTTTCCCCCCCAATACGGGACGGCGGAGTAAATGAACACCTTTTTGTCTTTCCGCACAGAAAGTTTGAGATGTAAAAATCTGGGGAGTCTGGATTGCCAAGTGGCTAAAAGTCTGTGTTTAGTGGAGGCATAGGCTGATATTTATGACATCGAGCGTCTCACAATCTTATCTAGATGCAGTCAGAAGCTCCAGACACCCTCATACTAGAGGATTATACCAGACCTCTGTGGGAGTGTAGTGCTGTCTATTAAAGTCAATACTGGTGGTCTGTAATTACTGTTTTTGGCCTTGTTCTACTTCAAATCAGTGTGTTTACAAGCTGTCTCTAGGTCTGTCTTAGAACACCAGGGAACAATCACTCCAAAAATAGTCATTCCTCATGTGTGCCAGCTCGGCCAGTTTGAAGTAACTTCTGTGCCGTTGAGTTCACCTGCCCCTCCTCACCTTCCCCTTGTGAGCAAGACGAGCCGAACAGTCGTGTGAGGAAAAAGGGCCGTTTGTGGAAAGAATTAACAGGATTGCTGTTGGAAACGTTACGGAAGGGAAGGGCCTTCTGCCACAGCTCTGATACCTCCCACAGTGTGTAAATGACAGCCATCTCCTTCTGACACGCCTTCGGACTCTTTCAATGATGTTTTCTCACACGGTGTATATTTAAGTATATATGCAAAATCTCTCCCATGCTGATACAGCCCCCCAGCTGTGTAAATTCACCGTTTGGGCTTGCGGCTTCTTGTTTTAATTCTGCCGTTGTGGTGGTGTTATAAAATTGTAATGCCTTTTAAACTTTATTTTCAGTCTGGTTCCAAGTTTTCCTTTACTGTTATGTGCGTTTGGTAGCATTTTCCTACATCATCGACTGTACTGATTGTACCAGACAATGTAAGAGACTGTACTGACGCAACAGTGTTGAGGCTAAGCCTTGATAAAGTTATTCGCTAAGCTAGCCATAAATTGGCAAATGTTGTTAAATGCAAGATGTTCGGTCTTTTTTGTCATCTTAGTCGTAATTTGTATGCTGTTAAGCAAATGCATAACATTGCCTGTGGACAGTTTTGATTTCCTGAACCCTGGTCAAAAAATTAATTACAGTTTTCAAATGGTTATGGGTAGAATTTTTTTTTTTTAGTTGAGATCAGGTTTGGCAAAGCCCAAAACTAAAAAGTGTAAGCCCAGGGAAGATTACTGAAGTGTCTGACCTGGAAACGTAACTGTTAAAAACAAAAGAAATAGCAAGGATGGTGAAACTACACAGCAAGGAGGTTGTGCTTCACACAAAAAAAAAAACAGCCAGAGAGATCAGAATGTTTAATATTTTTATTTTAAAAAAGGCAGCCCTACTAGTGTTTGGGTTGAAATTCAGACAGTGTTCCTTAAATTCCAGCACAGAAATTGTACTTCTGCTAAAAAAAAAGCAATTTCTGTTCTTGCTTGAGAATGATGTAAATCATCTTAAAGGACGTAACGGTGGCAGCCTGTTAAAAAAGTCTTCTTTTCTATGCTCTTTAACAGTCTATAAGAACTGAACGTCTGGCTAGCTTGTGTCAAAGTCTGAAAAGGCAAATTTAAAACAACAACTTTTTCCTTCCGGGAAAATACACTTGTGTTTATTAGACATAAAATAAGCATCAACATGTAAAATACCAGGGGTCTCCAAACCTAGACCTGATTCCAGTTAGTCTTACGGGTTCTTCCTTGAATAAAACTGTTCTCCGTTTCTAGAGATAGGGAACACCTATAAGTTATTAATAAAATAATTTGATCAGTTAAGTTAATTTTTGGTTTAATTTTTGAGAGAAGAATAGCATTAAGATTGTGGTCCCATATTATCTCAAAATAACTCCACTTAACTAATCACCTTCCTGATCGATACCTGTTGGACCAGGGGCAGAGACCTCTGGTTTATAGTATAACTGCTGTACATTTAAAGTTATAGAGTGGCAATTGAATCAGGTGGCAAGAAGTAATAATGAATGTTTTCTACTATTTAATTTTTCTGTACACTTTCTTATTATCTATTATTTAAAATGTCCCAAATAGTTTTTAGTACCTGTACTTACACCTCAAAATGTAAATTTTAACTTAAATGTGCTATCATTTTTATGGGGGTTTGCGTAGAATTTAGTGGTTAATGTTAGAGAGGTGTCACTGTGTTATACAGGGAATAGGCAAGGTGTTTCATTTGTATAAACCCCAGTACTAATCAGACACTGTGAGTCTAATGTACAATTTCCATTTGTTGTTCAAATTTAAACGTCTTAATTTTCAGCCTGTGATGGATTTCATTATCCTCATTTGCCATATTTTCTGAGCCATGTGGCAAGAATCTCCTGTATTTAAAATATTGTTGGCAAGTGGGTTTGGAATTAAAAATTATTTGCTGGGTTTTCATATGTAATGTCTTTTTTTTTTCCCAGCCCCGATTTATTATTGTGCTGTCCTTCTCCACAACTCTTTCCCTGTGCAAAACAAGACTGTCTTTTTGAGGCAAATTCAGTTCAGCATCAGTTACCATGACTTGAAAACTCAGCTGTTAGCCTTCATAAACTGGCGTGGCTTGAGAGCGATGGGTTAGAATGATTATCAAAGGCTGCTCTTGACTTCCACTTCATTTTCTTACATTGTGCTGTATAGTTTCCATCAGGCAGGTGAAGACAGGTGATTTGCACCGTATGTTTTTTAGAGTTAATGGCACAGGTCCATAGTGCGTCCATGCCCCTTGACTGCGTTCACAAGCAATTGGTGTGCCTTGCATTGAATCGAGGTGCGAGAAGCATGCATTTTGTAGTTTAAAACCTGGATTGGTAAAGTTTGGGGAGCCATGACCCAGTACTGAGCTGATGCTCTGCCATTTACTGTAACAAAGAGATTCCAGTTGACTTTCACAGTTGGTTTTACTGTTGGTTGAGCTGCCTTGACTTTGGTACGATGGGATACAGTTTGTGTGTGACCGAAAGGGCACAAACAAGAGAAGGACATTGGGCATATGTGCCATGGTGAAGTTCGATTCTCTTATAACGATGGCTGGTCATAAACGAGTAGAATCTTTGCGTGCTTGCCGGACTCTTTGGGAGGTTTCCTTCTGGGGAAAGTGAAACCAAAAGGGACGCTTTTAGAACAGTAACCAAGCCCTCCATTCTCCTTTGATTAAATGTCAGCCAGGGTGTTTGTTTTGATTGGGTAGTGACACTCTTTGTAATAGTCTTTCTTTCTTCTTTTTTTTTTAACCGACCCAGGTTCATGGGAGAAAACCCCCCCAAGGTATTTAGTTAACTTATCTCCCGTTGCTCTCACTACCTCTGCGGAAAGGGAGACTAAATTAACCTACAAGGTCCTCCACAGGAAAAACGTGGTAAAAAAAAAAACAAGTTTGAATCCCCTGACAGTGCATCTTTTTTGCTTGTGTTAGGGAATTTGTCATTACACACAGACTTAGTACCTGAAATGGAAAACGTGTAGACAGATTTTTTTTTTTTGCTCTTTTAATACCACATACCACTGATCTTGTGATTTTTTTTTTCTCTCTCCAGAAAGCTGCTGAACATTTTTTTTTCTGCACTCCTTATTTCACGCTCTGAATACCTAGTAGTTAATAGCTTCCCTCTTATCTGTTCGCGATGCTGTATCTATATATATATAAATAGGATGCGAGCTCCACATTAAAAGAGCATCGCTGGCATAGATGTCTCATTTTTAATTTGCTATTAAATGGTGGACGGCACATGCTGATTGTTAAATTATTTACTTTACACAACAAAGGAGAGCATTGGATCATTTCATTTAAAAAACAGAATGAAATGCAAGCAGTCTTCTGAGTGAGAATTAACAGCAAGCCTCTGGAATAAAGCATAGGAAGACTTGGCTAGACCAGTAATGCCTATTGATCTTTTTCCCTGTTGTGGTTCGAACCGTTAGCCTTTGTCAGACGGAGCAGCAGTTGATCCTAGATAATGGATGTTTAGCAGAACAAAACAGAGGAGTAAAAAGGCTTCCCAGATGCATCACTTTTGGATCCTTTAATTCGAGGGTCCAGGCATAATTATCTCATTGGGCTTTTTGATTTTTGTGTTGGCAAAGTGATTAGAGTTGCTGTCACACAGTGCTGGGGCCCTGCGTTCAATCCTGGTGCTGGGGTGCTGTCTGTGTGGAGTTTGTATGTTCTGCCTGTGTTCACATGAGTTTCCTCCAGTTGCTCTGGTTTTCTCCCATAGTCCAAAGACACACAGGTAGGTTAATTGACTTCTGGAAAACCTGGCCCTGGCGTGAGTGTGTTTGTATCTGTGTGTGCCCTGCGATGGACTGACACCCCGTCTTGTGCCCTGCCTTGCGCCCATTGCTTGCTGGGATAGGCTCCAGCTCCTCTGTAACTCTGAATTGGATGGAGCTGTGAGGAAATGGCTTGAGGGATCCCTATAGTTTCCTACCGACACCCGGCTTGGTCAGTTCAGGCTGGGAAAAGTAGATCTGCTTTGCATCAGGCCTGTCGGCATTTCTGCAGTGAAGGTTTGCTAAGATATTTTAAAATAGTACAGAATTTGTAACAAGCTATACAAAGAAGTAACTTTCCACTGCATCCCAAGTTGGCTGCGGATACAGTCGAAATATGTTTTTTTTTTCCGTGGGCTGCAGGTTGTCTTGTAAAAGATTTTAAGGTTTTGGATGATTGCACAATGTGGCGAACTAAAAAAAAAAATCCCAACCAGAACCTTAAATGTGTAATTACTGTTTACAGTAAGTTTTGCATTGTTGTCTTGAGGTCTCTAGTCAGTGGGGGATTACTTCACTATTTCAGCACAAACCCTCAGGTCGTTACTGGCTGCAAACATCACTGACAGGAAAAAAAACATTTGAGAAGTGTGGGTTTAGGGTGTGGTGTGTACACATTCATGTTGTGTGTTTTAAGAGTTGCCTAAATCTGCCCTCCTTCGCAGTGCTCTGTTTTTTTCTGCCGTTCTGTTGAAATTGAACTGGTCTCATTTCTGGTGTGGACGCCCTGCCATAGTCAATGGTGTGGTTTCCCAGGAATTGTTAATTTTGGAGTCTTTCTCTGCAGCCATCCCAAAATGTTGAAATAGCGCAACTTTGGGAGAGGACGAATTTCAGCTATGTCTCCTGGCTGCATGAAAAAAATGAGAATCCTTTTATCTGCAGGATAAAAAGGGCCATTAAGAATTCTGTGCACAGTCACCCATCAGCAGCAGAATAGTATATTGTGCAGGCCACAACAGGTGAGGTGTGTTAGTCTGTCATTATGGAAAGTCCAGTGCTGGCAAGACAGCCTTTTTTTTCAAAAAATGACCTTATCCAGCTACCCTATTAAAGATGCGAGCATCCTCTGTTTTCTTGTGTGTGATGTTAAAATAAACCTTGGAATTAACCTTGCAGATTGTCCCTTGTGTGTTGTTAGATGCCTTCGCCCTCGCCAATAAATAACTGTATAAATATTCATCATGGGAGATGGGTATTGCGCCAGGGTGCTGTTAAATAATCATGCTGTTAATTAACAAATTTGAACCCCACTTGACAAGCTCGTAGCATTTTCAGAGGCAGCTACAAAAGGATGAGATAATTAAGGGACAACACAAGGCGTGTGAAAACTTGTCACATCAGCTTTTTTTTCCCCCTTATTCTCTTCCACTTCTAGATTTATTAACAAGAGGGTAGTGTGAATGGTGGAATGATAGGAATCTCACTCATGTTAGCTCAAGTTGAGAAAGTTCCTAATTGGAGACTTGGTCCTGGTCGTTGCTGAGATCGGTATTTTTACCCCACCCCCCCCTCCCCTTAAGCTCCTGAAAATGTGTCGAGGATGCAGTTTCAAGAAGGAGGAGAAAAAAAAACTTTCCTTCTTTTTTACTCTGTGTTCACACTCAGCATTTTTTTTTCCTGTGGGTGTGATGTCTCTTCTACAAGTAATCAGCTCTGAGATGTCAGCATTCTTCTAGGCAATTCATAAAAATTCAGCCTGTGCCTGCAAAAGACGCCTCGGTCCCCCGCCAGCGCCCCCCCCCCACACACACACATCTTCTCTCTCCTTCCTCACTAAACAGGCGCAGAAGAGGTGAAATCGTTTACCGGAGGTAACACGTTTGCGTTGTGTAAGAGGAGGCTGCGTTGGGAGCTTTACTGACATGAATATGGAAAGAGCAAACCTGTCAGCGGGGATGTCGCTGGCCGGCTGCCTCCCGTGTGCGGGCTGGCGGGGCCTGCTGTGGCTGCCGTCAGGATGTTTCCTCTTCATCGTTCGGGCCTAGTTACCCAGAGGTGCTCTTCTGAAAGTGGGGAGCTCAGGAGACGCGCCGGGGAAATAACATCGTGGTGCACCAGAGGCTAAAGGCATCCATGGGGCAGTGTTTGGTTTTCATTTTTGTCAAACGACTGAAAAGCCCGTGCCCTTCGATCACAACAGGAGACAAACCAGGACAAACCAGGAACCATTTTGTGACTGCCTGCGTGTATACCCTTTACTGAAGTACTAAATTATTAAAGTAGATCAAATTATTCTTTTGAATGCTTCTCTTCTATAAGTATCGCTGAATTTGTCTCCCTGAATTAACTTTTGTTTTAGTTGTGTGGGATTAAGAGCAGCCCTGTGTTCTCGTGGCTTCCCAGACTATTTTTAGTCCTAATTTGACTTTTTTTTTTGTGTGGGGAGAATTTTAGGTACAGTAACAGCCAGCCTGTTCGCTCCATGTTGTAGATTTCCAGATGCTTGGTCAGTCAGAACTTTGTTTGGTCCCTTCTCAGTTTTTATTTTGGGTAACGGGTGGGTTTATGGCTGGAAGGTGCTACTTGCTAAGCAGGTTCCCTGTTTCATACAATAGCTGCTGTAAAATCACAATTTTGTAACAGCTTGGTTAATGTGGGTTAGTGTGTTCTTTGTCAATACTCCCCCTCTCTGCCTGTGGGCGTCTGCTTTGGGTTCAGTTGTGCTCCGTTTATATCATAGGAATGCTTGTCTTGATTGATACTGTGTTTCTTTATTTAGCTTCAGAGAATTTTTTTTCCTGTTTTATTCTTATTTTTGGTGTGGGGGGGGGGGGAATCTCTTTATAGCGTTGTTGGAAAATTGTCCCTGTATGGTTTGGAAAGAGTGATTGCAGTAATTTCTTCTTGAACTGAAATAAAAGAACTGATGGATTGTCGGTAGAGTGTATTCAGAAATGAATTTAAATATGTTACTTTACACAGTGGATTCGAGTTACAGACAACCCAAGCTTGGAGGATATTTCCACATTTAGTCCACTATTGGAAACAAATGGTTAGTTCTTTTGTAAATGATTAAAATCCACCAAACATAAATACCTCCCCCCCAAAATTTACATATTTAATATGTTTATGATTTATTTCCACAATATAAATTACTCTCAACTGCTTGCAAAAGAAACAGAAGTTAATTAGGTCTCTGGTACAAATGAATCTGCCTTGAAGCATTTTTAAATATTGTCTTTATTGTCCTCATTAAAATGGAAGAAATCTTATAGGTTTTTTTAAGCAGTCAATGTAAGACACTGTACATTGCTGATGCATATTAGAAAATAATCCATATGATTCCCATAAGTTTAATAATAAACAATGAATAGCAAAGTTAATATTCTAAATTTACTTAATGCTTGTTTAATACAGTATGTAGCAAAATGCAGCCTTGTTCACACGTTTATTTTCTGTTTAAATCAGGTTTAGAACTTAAGGAAATTGGTGAACTGCACTGTGCTTGAGTATCTACATGTATGAAAGTTGTACTGGGAATTGTCTGAAAAGTTTTTTTTTAAGATTCCTGAGAATTATTTTGGAGTGTTTTTTCGAGCCGTTTTTCTAAATCACTTCTGTAGCTTTGTGTTTGTTTTACACCTTTAATTGTTTAGTCTTAGTTCAGAAATTCTTAAAAGTGACAGGAATGCAGAGCAAGTCTTGGAGAGTAATGGAAGTGTATAAAAGCAGTGAAAAGGGTAAATAAATACTGAATCCATTAATTCATGTTCCTTTTTGCTTAGCCTTTTTTAGAAATATTCTCCTCCTCCTAAGTGACTTGCTGTGTGTGTACTCTGTGAGGCTTGTTAGTGCGGAGTTGTGGGGTGGGGGTAGCCCAGTGTTGGTGGAGATTAGGAATCTGCTGAGTCAGGGTGACTTGATCCCATGATATTTGCGCAGTCACACTGCACAATGGTTTGCTTTTATCACGCAGTATTCAAGAAGCATTTATAGAAATCTATGGTGACTTCCACTGGTACTTTGTATACAAAGTTATTTTACTTTTTGTAACTTTCCTGTTGCACCTGTTTCAGTGGAAATCTCTGTGCTACAGACCTTGAATCTTGAAACAGATCAGAGACTCATAAAAGTCCACATGGCCCTGATCCTACTCACTTCCTTAAGATTTCTTCCCTGCAGCCTCAACGTCTTTGAGCTTGTTCAGTTGTAAAAGAAAAAAAAAACTGCAACTCATCTGTTGCTTCAGTGTTTTCTTCACTTTTTTATATATATATTTGTCTAACAGAATGTTAAGATCTATAGTGAGAACACTTTGTTTTATACATTTGTCTCTGTTATTATATAAAACAATTGTTAGTGTAACTGTAACATAATTGAAATATAAGTTCTAAGTAGCAGAATATAAAGTGCTCAAGGTTTCTTGTATTTTATTGGGCATTAAGGGTGAATTCTCTCTTGCCTTTAAATACCCTTTTTATCGCCATACCTTGATGCAGTCCATTCAGAACTGACTGCTGCATTTGCAGTTGCAGAACGTCCTCACCTGTCTGAGGCTGAGTGCCCCCACCTGCACCTGGCAGTTCCCATGACGATACCCAGGTGGGGTGCCACTCCGCTTCTCCCTGTGTCTCTCAGGCTGGCACCGAGGACCAGCAGCCATTGCAGTGGGAGCAGTGGGTCGCTTGCTGACACAGGCTTTGCCGTCTGTGAAGTTAGCAGTGACAAGCTGCTGCTGAGTGCAACAAAAGCCACTGATGACCCTGTGGCTTCGCTGACCTTCCCTCAGCTTGCTGTGCAATTTGGAACTGCCATGTGCGCTCTTCTGCAGGAGTACGGTTCTCATCATTGTCTCTTTCGAGCAGTTTCTTAGCTTGTCATTACACCCAGGAAATCCCCTGGAATTTTCTTAAAAGACAAAAACACCTCAGTCTTGTTGGGGACCATTTCACAGCCTCGCTTGAAAGTCCCCACGTTTCTTCATCTGCATAATAATAAAAAGAATTGCTTAGCAGATGCCCTTGTCCAGATCTGGCCGAGCATTAATGAAGCTTAGCATGAAGTGCTGTGTCAGACGGAATCTGATTTGATTACAAGAAAAACATGAAATAATTAAGTATATAAAACGTCTTCATAGATGAGCACAGTAATGCCAGTAAATCCCGTGCAACACAGAAACGGAGGCAGTGAACACCTACAGTAGCACAGACCGCACGCGGGGTGGAGCCAGACATAAGTGGTTATGTAGACATCTGCCTGGTATGTGTTCCATGTAGAGAATTGCAACAAGTGAATTACATGTCAGGATTGAGAATAAAAACATTTTTTGCGGCACAGTGTAAGAATTACTGAAGAGCGGGGAACAAGCAGGGGAAATTAGTTTTTGTTCGGTGTTAAACGTATTACCAAACAGGCTAGATGGTCTCCTTTCAGTGAAAAACTTCCTTGTGTTCTTATGAAAGCCCCTTAATTTGATTGTCTTAAAGGCATCTTTGCTTGGGGAAATGGTCACATCTGGTGCTGCTGTTGGCCCAAGGCAGATAGCACGGAGATGATTCTGACGCTCCTTCCCCATTGGCCGATATGCTCTTTTACGCTGTTATGATTTTAGGAGTGCCGATCGCTGCTTCATGACGACCCCAGGTCTGCTGTGGGACTCTTAACACAGACTCCCAGCGGTGAGGCATACCTACGCACGTGGCAAGATGTGCCGCGTTGAATTTTCTTTCGAAATGAGAGGAAAACTATTCTGTAGCTAGGAGTTGGGGAAGTACGTACAGTTACTGTGACTGGGTAGACGTAAGTGGGTGAAAGGTCTTTGGAGTACATCAGCAAAATGACATTTTAGTGTTCCAAACTCAAGTTTCTCATTATTTGTTTTCCATTCTTCGATGTGTCGATGTGAGGTAAAAATATAGCAAGCAGACGTTGAGAGGTTTAGTGACGGTAATGAAATAAGGGATAGATTTTTTTTATTCTGTCGTTTTCTTAGAAATGGTTGAAAACCACTGTGCCACCAAGGAGGCTGCAGGAAACAGGAAACTGGAGGTTGTTATCTTTCTCACATTCAGTGTCCTACTTTTTAGAGTGGCAGGGTTCAGAATGCTTGCTAAACAAAACCTGACAGACTTTTTCGCCTTTCGCGATATGGAAAATTGTTGGGGATTTAGATCAGCTTGTTTCAAACATGCGCTTACAGTACGTAGACTTGAGGATAAGAAGATGCAGGATTGAAATAAACATATCTGGTTGTTTTAGTACTCTGTTTCATTATTAAAAAAAAAACATTGTAATAGTAATGTGCAGTGGAGTCAGTTTCTGCAGATACAGCAGTTCCTCACTGGGGAAGTTCAGGTATGGCGGCTGTTGTGCCTTAACGCCTCTCAGTTATTGAAGATTTTAAACTTGTTTTGTTTTCTCTGCAGACCTGTGTTGTCGGAACCGGCTCTCGTGGTATGACGACCGCTAACAAGGGAAGCAAAGCCTTGAAGGTGAGGCAGTAAGGCGCTTGGAAAAGACAAGTGCGTTTTAAAGCCTTTCTCCTTCGGAAATATTGCCTTTGGGCATTTATTAGCTTTGCTTTCTGCCTTCTTCACGTTTGACCTCGATGGAGATGCAAGTTCTTGGTTTGATACCCTGCTAGCCGGTGAGTTACATCATATCGCCTCCTGTGGCAGCTAGCCTGTGAGCTTGCAGTGAGGGCAGCATATCGCCTCCTGTGGCACTGATAGCCTGATAGTTCGCAGATAGTCTGTGAGCTCTCAATGAGGGGAGAATATCACCTCTTGTGGCAGCTAGCCTGTGGGCTTTCTTTAAACAGTGGAAACCCTGAACCTGAAGCCTGAGGAGGCCTCATAAGGACCAAAGCAGAATTTAAAGCTGCTTGTTTCTCATCCTGGTTTCGCCAGACTCAAAATCCACAACCAGTCACAACATGTTTATATCCCCAGGAGCATTGCACAGCAGGAAATGATAAAAACAGGCTATCGAATGTGCTTTCACATTTGGGTCACTTAGTTATTAATAACTGAGTGGCCGGAAGTGGTTTGCTACTTTCACCAAAATGGGCTGCTTTTGTTCTTGGTGCTTTTCCATACAAATAAAGAAGTTAGATTTTCTGAAGTGATACCAGGGGACACACACTGGTCAGCATTGCTGCCTGGGAGCTCCGGTGCCCTGGGTTCAGTTCCTGACCTCGGCTGCTATTTTTGTGGAGTTTGTACGTTCTCTTCACGTTCCGCGTGGGTTTCCTCCAGGTGCTCCGGTTTCTTCCCACAGATCAAAGACGTACTTGCAGGTTAATGGGCTCCTGGGAAAATCGCACCCGTTGTGTGTTTGTGTCTGGCTGTGCCCTGCGTTGGACTGGCGTCCTGCCCTTGGTGTGCCCTGCCTTGTGCCCGCTGTTTGCTGGGACAGGCACTGGCTCCACCTGCGACCCTGGATTGGGGGAAGTGGGCAGAAGATGGAAGGGTGGATGCAGTGATGCCGAAAGGAGCCGCGCCGGTTTATCCGTTTTTGATTCGGGTGCTCTCTGGCCTCTTTCAGGTGAAAAGGGAACCGGGGGAGAATGGCACCAGCCTCACGGACGAGGAGCTCGTGACGATGTCGGTGCGGGAGCTGAACCAGCACCTGCGCGGCCTGTCCAAGGAGGAGATCCTGCAGCTGAAGCAGCGGCGGCGCACGCTGAAGAACCGCGGCTACGCGGCCAGCTGCCGGGTGAAGCGGGTGACGCAGAAGGAGGAGCTGGAGAAGCAGAAGGCCGAGCTGCAGCAGGAGGTGGAGAAGCTGGCCTCGGAGAACGCCAGCATGAAGGTGGAGCTGGACGCCCTGCGCTCCAAATACGAGGCCCTCCAGAACTTCGCCCGGACAGTCGCCCGCAGCCCCGTGGCCCCCGCCCGGGGCCCCATCGCTTCCGTCATCGGCCCCCTCATTCCTGGCAAGGTGGCCACCACCAGCGTCATCACAATAGTCAAGTCAAAAACTGACGCTAGGTCTTAGTATCTAGCAGGGCAGGAGCCATTGGGAGGAACTGGTCAGTGCATCATAATTGAGCACAGAGCTTCATTGTTTGTGTTACCCCTCAAACTGAGCACCTCCCCTCTCCCTCCCCACCCCATCTCCCATCACCCCCCCCGCCAGCAGCAGCAGCAGCAGCAGGAGGAGGAGGAGGAGGGGGGGCGGTCTCCTTGGGGATGCGGGGGGGTGTAGCGCGAGCTGGCAGGGGTCTGTTGTGGTAGTGGTACCCTGCCAGCGTCTCACCCCGTCACCCTTGGGAGGCTGATCGTTTACCCCCCCGAGCGGCCAGGCATCAAGGCAAGACCGTCCAGGGGAAGCTGCCACCTGCACTTAACCGCGACGGTGTAACGTCAGGTCGAATTGGGTATTCCCGGAGGGGTAGGTCGGCCCAGCCGATCTAGATGTCCGTGTGAAGACCTCTCTGGATCAGATTTGTCAGAGTTTTATGGCAGGCGTTGGTCGCAAGGGTCCAAGTGTGAGCTCTGTCTGCTGTTTTCGAATTTGTGGTTGCCGGTTCCTTTTTTTTCCCTGTTTTCGATATAATTTATTTATCAGTGTCTTTTCCGTCCTAATACACCCTATGGGATATTACACATTATTGACTGCACTGGTTTAGAAGGCCCCAGAATCCAGATTTGTCTCCCTAGTTTGGGTACGAGCTTGCAAATCCGAGAATTAATTTCATGCCTTTTTACAAGCACAGCTGAGAATCTTTTAGCAATTGTTGCAAAGTTCAGTGAAATCACAGCACAAAACCATTTCTTTTATGGAGGGGTTGACTGTAGGCAGACCACATTTTATATCCCATTCACATGCGTTTTTCAAACTGTGCCTAATATTTTGCACTGACCAACCGTATTTTGAAAAAGACAAAAATCTGTAAGTGTTCACCTGTTTCAGAGTTGTACAGTATCTGAATGGCAGTGAAATATATTCGCTCAGATGACCAATTTATGTGATTGGGTAGTCCATTTTTTAATTAAACAAAAAAAGGTAAAAAATTGAGGTGTTTGTTTAACTTTTTGGGAAGTTGCGCAATTTTTGTAATATATTCCATGTCTGGAATAAGCTGGTATTCTTTGTAGATGTTTACGAGTATTGTTATGGAGACTATTCAATTGGAAAAGCAATACAAAAATATTTAAGTATGGAAAAGTTTCTGTTTGTCAGTGTTAGGAATCCCAAGCTTTAGTTCTTAAACTATTGACGGCTCAATGTATTGGTTGAATGGAAGAAAATACTTTTCTGATTTGCTGAAGATTCACCTATTCTATTTATTTTTTTGCTCATGATATTTGCAAAGTTAGCTTTTCTGGGTCTCGCACCTAAAATTGCACTTGTGCAACATCAGAGAGCTGCCAAACAACACCGCAGTGTTTTGGAGACCCGATGACAACGTAAGCACATGTGTTGTTATTTCCATTCAATTCGAGAGACGTGTGAAAAGACTCAATTAACGTTTTGTTGTCCATCATTTAAAAACGTCCCGTGAAGGGGCTTTCAGTCACACAGAGCCTACGGTAAAAAAAAAATGGCAAATACTTTTTTTTGGTAATAAAATGGGGACTAGCTGACCACATAAATAGACAGATGTGTAATCACAGGAGCTTTACTATAAAATTGTTAGTGTACGTATTTTAAGGATCTTTGTCCGCGTTCAAGTGTTGATTTTTATAAATACATAGAGTATCTTACATTATTTATAAAACCTCTTTAAAAAAAGTACAAAAAAACTTGTTTGATATCCTTTTTGCAATTGTACCAAAAGTGGCTTATTATTGAAGTCGATAGCTTTTCTAGTGCATAGGCGCGTACTGTGGATTAGCGCGTGGCGTGACGTTTAAGTGACAAGGTGACAGTATTGTTCACTATATGGATGTAATGCTGTACTTTTCTTTTTTTTAAAAAAAAGATTACTGGTGATGTAAACAGAGCCTGTTGTCTTTCAGAACCCCCTTTTTTTGGATTCTGTCAACACTGCCTTCTCGCGCTGTTTGATGGCATAACGAAATCATGCGCCGCGAACTATTAAAAAAAAATGTATCCCCGTCGGCTCCGAAAATCTGAGGGATTTAGGAATTTATATTGCCTGCTTTTGGCAATAGTTTTGCGTGTCAGTGTGAAAAATGATACTGTGGGATGACTTGCCGGGGTCCGAGTCCTCCCTTCATCCAGCAGGGAAATGTAGGTCTTCTCCTTGGGTTTTAATAATAATAATGGAAATCGCCTCACAGCTTTGAACCCTAAGGGTTTCTGTGCCACATTGGTATTGTGCTTGTGTGTGCGCGAACAACGAAGCGAGAGAAAGCTCAGCCTCATCTTTATGTACGAGATGCACTGTGGTAATATACACATTTTCCAAATGCTGAGAAATTGAAAGCCGTTTCCTTGGCTTCCACAAAGCAGGGCTCTTTGTGTGCGCTCTTTAGAATTGGTGTTCGGCTTCATTAAGTATTCCTGTTGATCTGGCGTGGGGAGATCTGTTCAGCTTTCAGATAACAAAACTGCTGCGGGGGTCTGAAAGTAGGAAACATCAGAATGAAAGCGCGACTGTGTACATCACCTTTCTTAAGTTATTTTTGTGATGTGTGATTTCTGTATATTTCTCTGCTATATTTAAGGCAAAAACATTTTTTTCTATTATTATTATTATTATTATTATTCTGATTATTTTTTATTAATGCCAGGGATGTGTGACTCTTCTGCACTGTGTAAAAAAAGCGTCATAATAGCTACTGCCATTTTGCAAGGGGCCCCATTTTCAATAGAATTTAATCAGAACCAGCAGATTTTACTGCTGAGCAGTAGGTAGTTTCTTGTGAGTGTTTAATAGAGAAAGCAAATTTGCATACTAAAGAATGCCAAAAGAGACTTTTCAGTGTTCTTGGAATTACTATTGGCTGCAGTTAAAACTTTTTCCGTGCAACCAATGAGTTTTTGAAAATGTTAAATTGCATCCGTTTCAAACAATGCTGGTACTAACAAATGTTTTTCTTGGGGGGAAAAATATGATATTGAACATATTAGCTTTAAAGGTAGTTGAAAATAAATACAGTGTATTCCACAACTATAAAGTGCAACAATTTTTAAAACTTCTCAATAGAAGGTATATTTTGTAACGGGTTTAGTTCAAAACCTGTTATTCGTCTTCTAAGAAATGTATTTATTTAAATGCTGTATTAATATCAAGTGCGAAGGAACAACAGGGCTTGATTTTTTTCTTTTTGTATATGAAATATTTAATAATATTTAAAAGGTTGAATGGTTTTTTTTTCCCAAAAAATGTTGTCTTTATGTAACAGTATACAGTATGTTTATGAGGAGAGATTATAATGGAAAACTTTGGTAAACATCAGTAAAAATGGCTTGTAAAGGACCAGAAAGGAAATGTACCTGGGGCAGCACGGTGATGCAGTGATTTGCATTTCTGCCTCGTAGTGCTGGGGCCCCGGAACTCAGTGCTGGAGTCCTTGGGGTGCTATCTGCATGGAGTTTGCATGTTCTCCACATATTTAATTGGGTGTCCTCCAGGTGCTCTGGTTTCCTCCCACAGTCTAAAGACATGTTGGTAGGTTAATTGGCTTCTGGGGAAACTGGCCCTGGTGTGAGTGTGAGTATGTATGCCCTGTGGATGACTGGCTTCCAGTTCAGGGTGTACCCTGCCTTGCACGTGTTGCTTGCTGGGATAGGCTCCGGCTCCCCTGCGGCTCTGTGTTGGAAAATGCAGTTAGAAAACGGATGAAAGGAAATGTACTGAAACCGAAATTACTTTTAAAAAATTAAACAAAAGAGTATAAAAGGTTTTTAGTTAAACTAAAACAAGAAAGCAGTGGGGTCCAATGCAAATTGGTCAATAGCACAACAATTGAATGCCTTTTCCAAAGTTTGATGTTCCTCTTTATATCGACAGAATGACAAGTTAAACAGTTAAAGGCCAAGTGTTTCCTATTTAGTTTTATTTTTAAATGTGCTCTCAGAGAAGACATGTTTTGCGCGGGTTGTGTAGTTTTTGCTACAGACGGGTTTGACAAGGTCTGTGTCAGCTCTCTACTGGCCAGTGCAAGGTACAGTAAAGATGTTCTTTACCTTGAAATTCCCTTGATTGAAGTTCCCTGTCCCTCACAGCATTGCACCACTGCTCATATTGTGCAACTGTAGTTGGGAAAATTATTTCCCTTTCTTTGTGAATTGTGAAAAGATCATTAATATACTGCCTTTTTTTGATGGCTTTCTACCAATTAGAAATTTGCTCAGGAATGCAGAGGATGTGAGATCACTTTTTGTAACAGGCTATTCAATGTTTTGGGACCATATCATGTGACACAAGGAGTTGCCTTTAAAACCCAAGACTGGGAGTATGTACAGTATATAAATCGGTCTGTGGATTAGGGCTACTCCCGATTAGTAAGGGCTCATGTTCACTTGAAAACATTTTAAGAAACCAAAATACAAAATGGGATTTCAACAGAGATTAATGCTGCCGAAGGATCTTACACTGAACATTTCTGACATGAGAAACTATTTACCTCTAAAGTGGACCTGAACTCTTCCTCCCTCACACAAGGAAGTACTAAGAATATATATTTGTTCTGACATTTTACAAGCTCTCGAAAAGCCGCAAAATCACATTATAAAGTAACTAAGCTTATTTGCTTTTCCTTCAGAGACCCGACCGTGAATGCTAGGAGAGAAGCTAAAAGATGCAAAGCCCAGGAGACAAAGGTTTTTAGATGAGCTGCTCTGAGTGACAAAGGAGAGAGAACCTTAGCGAATTGCTGGTCTTTTGAACTTGCTTCCTGCTCAACACTTGGCCTTTACAATGCATTTAACTTAAAAACGTCTGAACACTGGAAATCACGCCTGAGGCATTTAATCCGAATAATATGTGTGTATATATATCGCTCTATATATATTATGCATATATCTTCTCTTTTTAAAAAAAGTAATTGACAAGACATGATTTGACTGGTTATCTGTGAAACTGCTCTAAGGAAGATGATCCTGATTCTTGGCATTGCCTTGTTTCAATGTTAACATTCTGTTTTTGCTGTGACGGTCCTGTAGTGTTACCCTCTGTGAACAATGTGTAAAGGTTTTTAAGTGCTTGTTTTGGCAAGCGCCTTGTGTCATTCATTTCTCTTCTGGAGACGTGTGGCGTACGTGCGTACGTCGTGGTGACTGTTGTGAAAAAGTGAACCTTTTTAAATATGCAACTCAGTGGACTACAGTGAGAGACTAGAGCTCAGAGCTACGAGTAGTGATGTTGTAAAGTGACAAAAGTCAATAGTTTTATACAGAGTGCTTATCTGTCTATGATTCTTCTTGAATTCATTTTCCCTCCCTTTCACCGAGCAAAAGAATAACCCTTTCCTTCCGTCATCTGTACAGTTGTTAAAGTACAGGGTATTTAGTAGGAAATGAACGCTGATTTTTAATGACATCCTTGCACCATGCAAACAATCTTTTCCATTATTTTCCTCATTTGGTGCAGTTTCCTTGCCTTTTCAGTTTTGTGCTCGTAAGACGAGGCAAAAATTGTACTTGTAGAATGAATGCAAGCACAAATGAACCCCTCTCTGCTTCCTCTATTTTAAAAACAATCTGGAATGCCAATCGTCCCTGTCCAGGCAATGGACAAAACTTTGGGGGAGGAGGTGGGAGTGGAGCCTTCCCCCTCGTATTCTGCAACAGATGAAATATTAGTGGGCTCCTTTCATCAGGCCTGACTTCCTAAAAAGATAGCAGACTTCTTTATCTCCTGTTCCTAGATCAGATAAGTCCTGGTCAAAGGAGAGGACGCAAATGCAGAGTTCCTCCAGATTGTGACAGGGTGTGCGAGTTTGTGTTGAATAGCTGAATAGTCCGTACTGTATTTTGCTGTATGGAGGGAACCATTGTTGACTTCCAGGGTGGTCCCATGCCTTATCAAGTCTGTTTAACACCGCTGGCCACTGGAGCTCCCCTTTAAGATAAACTAGAATCAGTTTCCATTAGATATACCTGGCTAAGGAAGGAAAGAGGTTTGAAGATTGTGGATGATAATAGATCAGACACCCCTTTTTTTAATCAGGAGGAAAATGGGGCAGCGGGCTTACTCACTGAATTTAGAATTCTTCACATAGTGTTTGTTGTTGTTAAAGAGTTCTAAATAATAAACTCCCTCTGTTGCTGCTAGACCAATTACTATGACTTAGGCATATGTTGAAGTTCTTTATGCTTTGAGTAAATCTGCTAGTATCAACCCCAGCTTCTTAGAAATAATAATGTTTAAGCCCTTTTACAGTTAATTATTGGTATTTATGTTAATAGCACTATTGTGAGTACCTCTGCAGTCATCTTTTACTTTATTGAACACCCTTTTGGTCACGAATGAGATGTAATATATGTATTTTAAAAAAGAAGAAATAGTTTATCAGCACTTACGTGACAAAAATCTAAGCTTTAGACTGCTATTTTATTTTTAATCAAACCACATGTCTTCGTCAACCGGTAAACGTGATTTGGCAAGTTTAAATATCTTGCTCTTCAAGAATAGGTTTCTGTGTCTCAAAAGTGTAAAGTGAAAAAAATTAAAGCTATACAAAAGTAGTGAGTTTTATGAATATGGTAAATAACAATAATAAAATCTGTTTTTGTTATTTTTCTGTCTGGGGTGTAATAAGTTATGATATCACAGTACTTTGTATGAAAAATACATAAAATAAAAGTCCATTTAATTGTATTTATTAACTAAATTATTGTACTTTTTTGCAATCTGTAGATAAGTAAAATGATGTATTCATATATAACAACCATGAAATTAACTGTTTCATTCTCAGTCGGACGCGTCTTTAATTTATTGATGTATATACTGTATGTTTGTTGATATACAGCTTACTTTATTTTGTATATGACCAATAAACACATTTTGAAAAAGACTACCTATGCTTTTTTAATGTATGAGAAATATTGTTTCTGAACAAATGTGGTGTTGAAATACTGGCCCTTAATGACCCAGTTGTTTGTAAAAAAATAAAACCTCAAACTAAATGGGAATTCTTTTGGAAAAGGGTATTTCATCCCAGGCTGGTGTGAAGAGAAGGAGACCATTTAAGCACTGTGATTTCTTTTTGCAGGATCCAAAAAAATAGCAAATGACCCAGTTTAAGCAACCTCAGTGGACGTATTTTTGGCCTGACATTAGTAAAACATGACAGAGTCATGAAGGATGTCTAGGTGTGTTTGTCCTTAATGAGGACACACAGTCGTCTTGATATTTGTCTTCTCAACCCAAGTGCCTAGAGAGGGTTAGGAGGAGATGTGGTACCTTACATGCCAGCAACACCCACATTCTTCATGTGTGACTTCTACACATTATGTGCTGAATAAAACTAAATGACTTGGAATCTTAAAGGGGTACAACTGACTGTGCATGTATGAATGTATATAGATTGTTAATTGGGTCTGCAATATGTTTAATTGTTAAACATATTAAACTGATTTTTCTAACCTTTTTCCAAATACTGTCCAGATTACAGATTGATAGATGGACAGGTAAGCGATGATGAATATACACACACAAGCCATGCCAAAACACAACCTTTACATATCCAAAAAATTGATTGGATAGAACATTCTATGAAGATATTTCTTGTTTGTAGTTAAGAATAGCTGAGCTTTTCGGGGAAAAGCTATCAAGAAGGCACTAATTGTTTAATTAACCTTTTCCCTTCTTCTGTGTTTGCTGTAAGTCGCGCTCAGTCCAGTCAGCAAGAAAGAATGCAAAGAGATAAAAGTGCTTTGTTTGTTTTCCAAAGCAGGGCCAGCCTTATTTGCTTATGGATTTTGTCATTTCAATTTTTCTGGCTTGCTTGAGTGTGTGTTTGAGGACCAAGCAGGGTACTGTGTGCTCCTCTCATCTGGTTTGGGATCTGTCACCCCATCTGATTTGCCCTTTTGCTGCCTCTTGTCATTTTTATTTAAGGAATTCTCAGGATTGGAGCAAAAGACATTGCTGAGGACTACGAGGGGACTCCTGCTCTACTGTAGTCTTCGCATTTCAAAAGACATGGGGGCAAAACAGTGCTCTCTGTGGCTCATTCTCCCATCATTCATTGCTGTTTTTACTGTTACTGTGTTTTGTGCTGTTAAGGAAAAAGCTCAGTTTTTCCATAGCTATTTCCTTAAATTGTAAGGAAAAAAAAACAACAACCATCTACTGAACTACTTGAAAGACAAAAACCTGAAAAGCAAGCTGTCATCAATGGCCTTGATTTCCCTTTCAGGAACTATTGATTGCACTTCAGACCAGATTAATTTTTTTGGCCAAATGCGTTAAGGTGATTTAGTGGCCAATCTAGGACGAGCCTTTTCTATCGTAACATTTGTCATTTTTACCTGCTGTTCCGTCTGGCCCAGATCTTTCAGCCCAAGCCCACAGCACAATCAATCTGCCCCCTCCTGTTGCTCAGATTAGCATATTTTGCTTATTATGTGACTGCTCTGGGTGTCTCGCAGTTATGGTACATTACATGCATAAGTGAGGGAAAAAGGTTAGTTTTATTATTTAGTATGTGTAGATAAGAGAGAAATGTTTATAAATGCAATAATATACGATGTTACTATATTCATAGAAAAGAATATTCATAGAAAATATGCTGAACACGTACCTACAGTAGGTCAGACATCTGGTAAGTGCCTTGTATTCTCTAGGGAAATTATGTACGTTTTCGATCTAACATTACGTGGTGCATAAATACTTTTGGGGTCCTCCAAAAGTCTTTAAACAAAACTATGTTAAACTGATTCGTCGGTATCTATATTTCACTACCTTTTTTTTCCTTTAGTGAAATAAAACTGACTCATTTGTACTCGATTTGATATCAGATCAGGCAGCGAAGAAAATAGTGTTTCTTAAGGCTTTAATGCAATCGATTTCCGTGAAACTTGCTTTGGGCCCTGAACTGCACGTCGATACCTCTTCAACAGAGATGAAACGACAGATATTTCTGTGAGAAATAATTTTTTTCAAGTTTTTATGTGAGCAAATGTGTATAAACAAACAGTGATCGCTCCCGAGATAGCCTGACGTCAGGGTTAAGTGTTTAGTTAAAATATATCACAATATATTACAGATGCGTTTCAAGAAACATTAATACACATCAAAATTTTCTAAACACACGCCATGTACTTTTACGGTATTTAATCCTTCCCGCCCGCAGGTGGCAGTATCGTAATTTCTGCGTCTGTAACGACTTCAGAAACCTGCTTTTCACGGAGACGTCGACTCGTTGGCACAAAGTAAGAAGTGAAATGGATTTTCCAATTCTTTGTAATGAAACAAATATGTAAGCTTATATAAAATCATATATTACGAATAATATTGTACTTTACGCACGTAACAGTTTGTCTTGAGATTGTTAATTGAAGTGTTTCATGAGAGTCTTTTTTTCTACTTCGCGCACGCTGCGACACGTAACAGTTACGCAAATTACAGATCATCGTAACAGGTGACCAGTTAAACTCGTACATTAGACTGACTTTAAGCCTGCCTAAAATGGATTTGCATACTGCACGACCAAACTGACAGTGTCCGCAAGTTCATGCTTCGTTTCACTACGTGTTTTTCATATGTGCTTTGATTTTGTTTTGGTGAGTCCGGATCCACTTTGGCGAAATCCAGAGGGTGCGTAACGGCAACCGTTTCAGTTTTCCAAACTGTCAAAGCCGAGAGGAAGCGGGTAAGATACAAACGCTAAATTAAAAAAAAGAGCTCTTTTCTTCCTGGGAAATAGAATTATACACTTAAAAAATATAGAAATTCTTTTGCACTTCAAATAACTTCCATGTATAAAAAAAGCGTCGTTATATTTTGATGGTCTCTCTTGTAAGTGGAGTTGCAGCGATTAGTATTTGAATAGCCTCCCTCTTTTTGTTTTTATCCTCAAAAGTTTAAAAATGCGGTAAGAAAACAAAATCAAACACAATCTGTTTTTATTGAAATTTCTTCGTGTCACACCTTAACTCACAGGACTTTGACGGTGTGTTGGGTATTGCTGCGAAATTAAATAATAAACTGTCAGTTTATACAGATAGACAAACATGTTACATGGGTTACGCCCCTACGCCTGTTTTCTTGTTATTGAATTGCCAAGATGGCCAAGACGGTGTTTAGGCCGTCATAATATCACATTAGTTATAATAAATGCCCGCTTAATCATCACTTAATTCGAATAACTCAGTGTTCATATTTTTTTGCTGTGAAATTCTCTCTTGCGCCTCCAGTAAAATAGCACTCCGAAGTCTTATGACCTGTTTTGCAGAATGGAGAGCTATGAAGAATTTTTCCAGACTCAACTGTCTCTTGTGAAGGAGAGGGCTTTGTCCACAACCGACAAGAATGCAGACCCTGAGCTGGACAGCCGCCGCAGCTCGTCTTGCATACGATTTCATGGAATTGCCATCCTGCCTCCAGTGGTAATATCTTGTGATGTGTAAATATATATGAAATGCTTTTTAGAACATCAGAGTTCATCGCGCCTTGCGTGAAGCGTCAGTCGCGTTTCCAACAGGAAAGGGTGATATTTGGTTAGTTTGCAGAGTGTTGGTCTCGGGCGTGAGTTTTGGTGCATCAGGGAAAGGTGCAGCACACTCTAAACATGATCACTTGCTGAAGGCAGCACCTGTCTTTCTCACCCGCGTCAGTTTACCAGGGAGCGCAGAGCGGAGATGTGGAAGTATAAAGATGAAGCCGTGAACTTCATGAATCAGAAGAGGAAATTGCCCAAGGACCCGCGGATGTTCCGGGTTCAGGCCCTCCTTGACAGCGTCCAGGTGTGGCAGAACATATTCTCACAAGATTCATTTCACCGCATTTATTGTGTAAGGTTTCCGCTTCCACTTTTCTGTTGCTTTCTGTGGGTCTCAGATGTCTTTATTTCTCTCTTTTAGCTAAGGAGGGCACCGACACTGGAGGAATTTGTCCGAGATGACTCTGAACCTTTGCTGAGAGAAAGCAGCAAATTGCAAGAAGCTGCTGTAAAGAGCATGGATGTTGAATCAGAGACTGACAGAAATGACCATATTGATCCATTACTTTCCCTCAATCTGCCTGCCAAACCAGATCATAATGAAAACATGGACATCGGTTTTCCTAAATTAACATCCTCTGTTGATAGCTTTTGTGCTACAGATTCTCCAGATGTCCAAAACACTTACACGGTTCCTGTGACTGATGAAGGGTCTGTGATTGATTGTCACCAGAGTGACACAGTTCAGTCTTCGGAAACCAAAAGTACCATAGCTAGTGACACCCAAGTGCTTCAAAACCCTAAGACTCATAATAATGTCAGTCAGAGATCGATGTCCTCGGGGTACCTAACTTGTGATAATACAGATCTTACATTTCATACGAACAGTGGAGCAGAAAATGGTTGTTTCAGTACCGACGGACATACAGTGACACAAGGTTTTTTCCTACACGAAAATGCTGGTTTGACGAGTAATGTCTCAGACATAGTGGGTGATACAGTAGCCGATTTTAGTTCAAAAGATATTTGCGAAGGAAGCAAAACTGCTGGCCAGGATGTTGTTTCTGAGGATTCAGACCTGAAAACTGTAGGATATGAGAAACCGTGTTATCCTGAGCACCCTGTGGAACCTTACCGTATGAGCCTCCAGAACCTGTTGAAGAAGTCTCAGGAATACAGAAACAAGCAGCGACAATTGAAGAACTCCAAAGCTAGGGCTCTGGAAAACAGCAAGGTTGACAGCCTTTCTGACAAGGAGAATGATACATCCCCTCAGATACTGAGAGGCGAGTCCGGGAAAACAAAAGAAAAAAAATCAAGTTGTGGAAGAGTTCGATTTTTGGTGTCGGAGGGAGCGCTGACAGGAGGCATGGTCTCGTCAATTTCCAGTGTAAATTCGGGCACTCGAATACTATTGGCTGATAAGAAACTGAACAGGCCTGGAATTCTGGAACGTAGTAAAATGGGTTTTGACCAAGAAAAAAAGGAGCATGCCAAGCAAAGATCAGGCATTGAAGCCAGTTCAGTTTCTTTTACTCCTTGCAAACCGATCGTAGTAGATAAGAGTTTTGCCAGTAATGAACCAGAAGTGTTATCATACACCACAAAACAAAATAAAGCAGCTGATCTCCCATACGATGTTTCTCGCTCTTTAACACCACAAGCTTCTTTTATAGATGTAAAAAAGCCTGACTGCATCCCATCACAAAGCACTGTGGATAAAAAATTTAGAACAGTCCCATGTCCCCAGCTGTGTAAAAGCCCAGTTCACTCCCAAAAAGTTAGCGGTCCTTCTAGAAAACTATTAGTGAACACATCTTTGAGTGTTGGAAATGAAATAGAGGGGGAACAAATCAGCAATAAGGCGAACTGTTCATATATGGATGATCAGATTCGGAACAGCAGGAATCAGACAGTACAGATCACGCAGCTTGAGATGAACTTGTCCTCTCTTAAGTCCCTGATATTAGACTTGGAATCGACCATTACAGAGGTGCCTACCAAATATGCGTCTGAAGAAAGCATGGTGGAAAATACAGAGTCTTCTGTCAAGAATGTTGAAAATGTGGCTTTCCAGTTGAAGAAAATGCAACCAGACCATAGGAAGGTTCTTGAGGACTGGAAACAAATGTCAGCAACATCCCTAGCACAGAAATCGGGGGTTCCAGACATGTCAAAAAGCCACCTCGTCTCCAATGTGGGGCCACAGAAGGGACGTGTTCTGGCTGACTTAAGTTCTCGAGCTGTGGCTGATTCAGTGAGACCTCGAGAAACTGAAAGCACGTGGTGTTGCCATTCAGTAAACCAGTCGTATGATGTTGAGATGCCTTCGGGACTTTGGCTTCAAGGGCGGGAGTCAGGGCAGGAGAAAGAAACTTGGGGAAAAGTCCTGACGCCTGTTAGCGAGGGGAATGGGCAGGAATCCCGAGCCAAAAGAAGACTCCTCATGAACACACCAGATTTAAACATCCGAACTGGTCAAGCTGCAACGGAAACCAGAATTGGAGAAAAACTGATGTCAAGCACCCCTAATGGTAAGGCCATAAAGGGCATTTTCAGCTCTGTACAAGACTCTTTCAGTTAGACTTAAATGGCATTTTTACTAAAGACATTTAAGCCTTATGAGATTCTGTTGAGAATCACATTGGTCCTACATGTGGATCCTATATGGATCTTGTGGGACAGAGATTGAAGCCTGCTTGTATATATGGAGATCTGATGAAGCTGTCCCAGAATATTTTACAGCGATGCAACATTTGTTTCCTGTCTTTCAGTCAAACGATCTCTCATGGAAAAACAGCAGCTGCAGTTGAGGCAAGCACATGCAATGCAGGTTCGCACTCTGGTGGAGGAACAGCAGAAAGAACAGCAACACATGCTGCAGGTGACTACCCTAGCTGCTCAGACAGGCTGTGAATCTGCTGCGCTTCCACAGTGCTAGGAAAGAACAGAAGAGCTAAAAGGCTTTTGCTTTTATACAATAATTGGAGAGAACCTTGTTAATGGAATTTTCTGATTTGGGCTTCTGTTCATGCGTTTCTAAAGTGTAATAGGATTCACTGTGTAAATGATGTTCACTCAGGGTAATGGTAGAGTAAAGACTAGATTAATATAGTAGATTCATTATATAGTTTAGTAGTTGTCTACAGTGATATAAAGGGAAATATTGGGAGAAGAAGAGACTTTCCCTTTTCGATTGTCGAAAATGTCAGTTTGGCTTCAGATCTTTTAGGATTAATGCGAATTTCATAAGCCCCACACAATGACAAACATCCAATTTATTTGTTTTCACTGGTTTTGGTATTTGGCAGATCTTTGTAAAATCTCTTTGTAGAGCTCAGGCATTGTTATCATTTAATCCCCAGCATCACTGACTCTGCTCAAATGCTGAATTACTCTTTGCAAGGATTTAAAATCCATTTCCCTGCCTTTCACCACTCCAATTTTTATTTGTAACACTGTCCTCATGCATTTAATTATGGTGTTTAACGTACACGGTTAATAAGGCAATTAATATAAGCTCTTTTGTAATCACATTTTTAATTCTCACTGCTATGTGTATAGTAAATGAATAGAAGCCTCTTATTAGTAAAGAAGAAATTACATCATGACATACTGTATGATGTATAGACATCATATGCTTTTAGAGTTAAGTGTGTGACTATCCCATTGTGCTTTATTATTCTCAAATTTAACTCTTGCTTTATCCATTAAATTCATTGTGCCTCATTAAACATCCCACTCATTTTTTTTTAATTTACACAGAAAATTGCAACACAGTACCAGTTGTTGCAGCACATTTCAGCCATGTCTCCTAACTGCAGCAGATATTGGAGGGACATGACTTTTCCCAGCACCCCTCTGCTTGAACAGCCTGTTTCACCTCCAGTTGCTGTGCAGGTAGTTAGCTGTTTCAGTTTTGTTTATTATTTTGCTGCTTTATTTTTTATTCCAAATTGCGATGTCCCAATTTAAATCTCACTTCTCTACACCCAGCAGCAGAAGAAGTAAAGCATTGAACACACTTCTTCTTGTTTCATATAATTTTGGAAGGTCTTTACCAAGAAAAGACACTGAAAAGGGAGAAGGAGGACAGTACGATATCATTTGTACCGTGGGAGCTGAGTTGATACCCTGCTTCCTGTTGCTATGAATGACTTCCTGTATTATTCATCTGTTTACAGGCACATGGTGCCCACTCTGTGACTCCGCTTTCCTTAATTACAGCCGTAATTAAAGGTTACCTCACCCGGAGACTGCTCCGTACAGAGCGCGTGGCCCAGCTTGTCCGGACCATTAAGGTAGATCCTGATGGAATTTGCGAGTTTTGGGTGGCAAAAGTAATCCATGATGCTTGCTGCCAAGGCCTTCTCCGTCTGTCTTTTTGTTCAGTCAGATATTACACAAAAACAAATGTTGACCAAGATAGCAAATGCCTATATCAACATGCATCTCTGTCTTGCCAGATTTATGTTCTTATTGGCACAGGCAGGAAGAAAGCAAAAACAGAGCAAACCCAGAATGTAGAATTTCACGTTGTGTTGGGAAAAGCTGTAGTCATGTCTGTAGGCCACAAACATTTCACTTGTCTTCTGAAATGGCTTGTGTTTGACTTAACTTGTGACGATGATGACAACACTCCTTGTTTTATAGAATAACATTTCTTCTGCTTTTCCAAATAGTGTCTGTAGTTTGAATGAGAATGATAACCATCTGTTAGCAACTGAAAGTGTATTGTTGAACATAAAAATCCATACAGAACTTTGAAAACCCATAATCCTTCTCATTTGCCACCTGTTGAGATGAGCAGATACACAGAGAGCATCGTCGCTGTTGGTTAAGAGCTCAAAATAACTACATTTCAAGAAAGGTTTAAGTCGACCCCCTTAGGGGGTCTCGCACTTGTTCAATATTTTACCATGTTTTTTAATGACAGCGTTTCTAAAATATAAATGTCCTTATTTCTATATGTTTGTGTTGCCCTTTCTGGCTTCCCGATTGTGATCTTGATTTGCATTGTTCAAACCTCAGGACACTCGACACTTCCTGCTCACTCTGCAGCCGCACACCCCGGGAAGGGCGGAGTTCAGTTCCAAACAGGACCAGGCGCTGCGAGAACGAGTCCAGCACCAGGTGTGTCATTCTGCTCCTGGCCGCATTGCTGAAAGCTGATGTCTGGTGATGCAGAGTGTTGTGATCAAATCTAAGTAACGGCTTTAAAATAAAGTCAAACTGAACATTGTAGAAAACAGACAAAATGTCATCTATTAGCTTGCTGTTTGCGTAAGTATTCTGGTGTGCAACGGTCTTAGTCTTGTTATTTTGTGCTTCATGTTTCACTCAGCTTCTCCTGCTTTGTGCAGATCTGTGATTCTTTGGTGGTCATATGCTGAAATTGGAGCCATTATATTCTAAGACAGGGGTTAATCCTTTTCGTAGGTTTTACAGTACAAAATGTAGCTTTGTGGCTGTGTAGAGATCCATATTAATGATGGAGCGCACTTGACAGTGGTTCAGTTAGTTTTTCTTGAGAAATGGATGCGATTTTGCTTTTGCACTCTCGTAGAATTTACGTTTGAGCTGTTGTCAAGGTGATCCAGGTTTTATAGATGGAAGATCAGTGTGAACTCAAAGATTGCAGTGAAATGACAAGCTTGGCTTCTTCTCACCCAAAACAAGCTTTTTTTAATAACAGAAGTGTTGTAATTGAAGAAGACAGTAGAGGAAGCTTTGAATTCGTTGTGAGTTTATTTCTATCATACATGTATTGTAACTCATCACTGTGTCTATGAAGTATAAGACCTTTGTACCTCAGTCTGTGTAAAACGGTTTAGGTCTTTACGTGAAACACAAAACTGACACTTGATTCCATGTGGTGTTTTTCCAGCTGCGCTCTGCGCATTATGAAGTCCACGACATCTTCTTTGGTTTGTCCCCAGAAGAACGAATGCAGATCATCTCCTGGGATCGAGATTTAGTGAGAAACAGAGAAATCAAACAAAAAGTATGTTCTTGTGTACAGTTTACCATTTTTGTCTATAGCAGGTTTTGCACATCTTCATTGTTCTGTACATAGGCTAGGTTTATATTTAATAACTTATACATATATTATTTTTCCTCTTACAATGCCCAGGTACCATTTATTTAGAAATATAAATCTTAAATAGAATCACAAGTACAGATTCTAATATATTTTAATTGCAGATAAAATGATCACAGAAGTTGTGATGTAATGCATTTTGTTTCATTATCTGTACTCCCTCAGAATTGAAAACCTCTTATGTTATATTCAACAAGACGTTGTGCAGCCTAGGGTTGTGTCTATCCCGATGTGCCTTTATGCCAGCATTTTTCAAGTGCTTTTATTTAAACTGCCTTTGAGCAGAGTGCTGTTGCCAGAGTCCACAAGGTGGAGCCATCTTCATTTTCAAGCCAGAGACTAGTGATTAGATCAGAATTACTTTATTTGACAAGTATGTAACATGCACAAGGGATCTGATTGTGTGTCTACTTATTTTTACTTAAGCCTGGGTCATGGAAGAGAAATGTAAATTTTAAACAAGTGATTTTGTTTTTTTGGGAGAATGGGACAAAACACAGCAGAGGAAAAGGCTCACTTTCAGCTGCTACAAAGAAGTCACTGGAGAGGAAGAGGAGTTTACTGTGAGTACCGTTGTGATGGGCCTTAACATTGTATAAGCTTCCACAGCAAAACACAAGGACACCTTTTTCACCAACCTTATTTAAGTAGATATTTCTCTCCATTAGGTAATATTCCCTCTTTATGTTATCAGTTCAGACCACAAGAGACTCGGCTTCACCCCAATACCTCTGTGCACATTCTGGTTTAGTTCTGTCTCTGCTGTGCTCTTTTATTGTATTATACTGTGGTTCAAGGTGTAAATGATCACAGCTTGACTGATGTAAATATCTTCTCTCTTGCATGCTCACAGCTACTCAAGTGTCAGCCTGAAGTGTACTAATTAGTTTTGTATTTTGGACACTGGGAGAATATTAAATCTGCTGTCATGATATTGTTCTTCCCATTCTGTAACCATGGTGATTGATGTGCATCCTCCTGTTGATTTTCAGGTTATGGAAAAGAGTTGCAGAGAGACAGAGGGGGCCAGGGAATGTTTATCCTGGGAGACAGCTCCGTCAGCACAGCTCCAAAGAAAACAGCTCTGCTCTTTCCACAAAACACAGATGACATATACAGACAGCTCATGCACACAGCCTTCTTCGGGATCAAGAGGGAATTCTTACTTAGTGTTACAAGAAACTCTGCCTGTGCTGGGTGTCCATACTGTACCACTGCCAACCTCTGCCACTGTCATCTCCAAAGAGCACAGCATCCCACATCTGTTTATAGAAAGTCAGAGTGCTACCACAACATTATATCCTGCACTTGAAATAACCCTGGATAACCTGGGCTAAGTGGGGATTCAATGATCGGAGATTACTCACTGGTTGATCTGGACAGTAAATATAAACCTGAGATAATTGTTATAAAAAATCATCAATCCTAAGAAGCATAAAAACATAAGGTACAGGAAAAAAATAATTTTAAGCCCCATTTTACTGTTACTTGTTCCTTACAAAATTTGTAACTTTTTAATATTTATTTTTAGACGTCCTGTGTAAAAATAAAGTGTTTTCATTTTTCTGAAGTTGAGTTTCTTTTGTTCTCTGGATTCTCCGGATGCATCAGGGGACTTCAGACAAAGAAGCCTATCATGCACAGCACCTTTAACAGACATCAGATGTGCAGGGTGGAAACTGGTGATTATATTTAAATGTAATAGTAAAGCAGTAAAGGGTCTAGTACCTTTACAGTGACTGAACCACATACTTAAGTTTTGTTTGAAAATGTAGTTCCGACAAAAGTTGCAGTTGCAATTTATGATAAACCAATTGTATTTAGAGTCTTTTGGATATTGTCTAATTTTACCCTGTCTTTTCTATTACTTCTTTTACAAAAGCCTGTCCATGGGATAGCAAATTTATGTAATGGAATACGTAAAGTTTTATACCATACTGAAAGAAAAAAGAAAAGAGACACAACGTTTCGGCTGCGGAGCCTTCTTCAGGTGTGTCACAAATCCGAAAGCAAATTTATTAGGCAGGTTCACCCCGGACTAAAATGATCCAGCGAACAGTTGCAGTCGCCACAATGACCAATAGAGGGCGCTGCTTCATTTCGAAGGCGCGTTTCTGAAGCATCACATGTGTGTTTTTCCTCTTTCCTGCGTACTCGTTGTGTTAAATGTCGGCCGGTTGTTTAGATACATCCCCACAACAGGAAGAATGGAGGGGACAGCCAGGGACTGTGGTCGTGTGTCTTCTCGAACGGAGAGGAAAGCGCAAGAGAGAGCTAAAATCTTGCAGCAGGAGAAGCAGAGAAAAACGTTCAAACTGGTAAGAGCAAGAATTCTCAGTTGGGAGCTACACGAGTCTCTTTGTACATTGTAATTTGGGCACACAGTGACACACTTCTCCACAAACATGTATTTACAAGTTAATCCCCTTATATTGTTAGACTATGAGCTGCTTATATTTTAAAATTCGCTTTTTGATTGTCCGTATTACCTGTCATCATTACAGAAGCAAATTGGATTCCTTTGTATTGTCTGAAATCTCATCCATAGGTTCATTAATGTAATACAATTTGCATTTTCACATGTGATATGGTTACATTATTTGGGTGTCGCAGCAATGTATATAATCTTTATGTCACATCGGTAAAATGCACCTTTTGTTTTAAAACCTAGAAGAAATAGGATTCCCTAACATGCTTTTTGCGAGTTTTAGACAGAATAATTTGGGCATCAAGTTTCCAAAACACTGTTTCCAGCAATATTCCTCTTAAATAATGACTTAAAAGTTCTGCTGTCTGCCTATGACGTGGATTTTAAGGGCTGGCAGTCTCTCATAATATATATATATAATTCACGTTTTGGCGGACATCCTGAGTTTCAGAAGGAGTCTTATGCCTAATGTGTGGAAGACCAGTTGTTTCACGCAGTGCTGCTGGCCAGGTCTTTTAAAGAGAATGGAAGGCGTTTTCAGTACTGTGTCAGCTGGTTCAGTTCGGGCTGTGGGACGAGCCTGCCTGCTCGAGAGGGAGGCTGGCAGGCTAGTGCGTTCTGTGCCTGTGCAGGTGTCGCAGATCCTGAAGAAGTCCGAGTCGGAGCGGACGGAGGAGGAGCTGGCTACCCTCCAGCAGTGCGAGAAGATGGTGCAGGAGCTCAGACTGCGGCAGATCAGACGGGACGCCCTGAAGAGGAAACAGGAGGAGGTGGGGTGGCCCCTGTCCAGCTCTGGCTGGAGCGGGTTTGCGTTTACCTTCAGCTCTCATATAACATCCGAATCCAAAGCGCTGCGGTTTAATAAACAGTCAGAATCGGACAGGAGTATCGCTCTATTGTCTAACTGCTTCATCCAAGTTGTGGTCACGACAAGCAAGCGGAGCCAGGCAGAACACACCCTGGGCAGGATGCCAGTCCCCTGCAGGGCGCGCACAGACATAAACACTCACACTCACACCAGGGCTAATATTCCCAGAAGCCAATTAACCTTGCCTTATGTCTTCGGACTGTGGGAGGAAACCGCAGCACCAGAAGGAAACCCACACGAAGGAGGGGAGAACATAGAAACTCCACACAAATCACTGCTCACAGCTCAGGAACTGAACCCAGGGCCCTGCACTGTGAGGCAGCAGTGGTAACCAGTGCACCACCGTGTCGGCCAGGAGTTGTAATACTGGTAATTTAGCCCTAAAATGACCACAGATTCCAACTCTTATACTGGTATAATCAACAAAACAGAGCCCACCTGGCACTAAGACTGTAACCAAAGCTGCCATCATACCCTTCGAACCTGGATGGTGTTGAATTATCCTACAAAAGGGGATCCCGGCCTTTAATGGGTGAAGCAGAGGTTTCTGCTGTCTGGGGAGCGGTGCTGTGGGTCCACTGAAGTACTTAAATATAAAAAGTGGAGCATTTTAACCCCATCCATTTTGTGTAGGCGTGGGCATTATTTTGAAATTATGTACGAAATAATGCCTGTGAACATCATTCTGTCACTTTGGTTTAGGTGCTTGACAGGCCGGACGAGCTGCAGAGGAAAGTGAAGGAGCTGGCAGCTGCTGTTCGAGCAGCCACGTACCTTGTGGTGTACACAGGCGCTGGCATTAGTACGGTACTGTACTGGAACCCGTCGGACTTGTGGCACTGGAGAAAATGCATGAAGTCGCGAAACATTATGAGAAGGCTTATTCTTTTTAATTCAAATCTGGAATTTGGTAGTCTGAACAAAACGTTAGCTAGCATTTGTGAAATTATTCATCAGCGTTCGTAGAATGCCAAATGGCATGCTAATCTAGATCCTAGCACTGACATTGGTGTCATGATGGCGCAGTAGTTGAATGGGTAATCCTTTTTACACGGGTGGGTAGCTGCGTTGGCATGCGTAGGCTGCAAAGGAACAGGTAATAGGTTTATTCCATTCTGAAAAGAGAAGAAAGAAAACACAACATTTCGGCTGTGGAGCCTTCTTCAGGTGTGAGCCTTCTTCCTTCTTACACAGTCATTCTGATCATCAAACGACGGATATTCTGTAGCAAACAATATTTAAAATGCCAGACACGTGTATGGTAGCAGAAGGATAACATGACCATGCAAGATTTCCAGCGCTTGGAGGGATCTTTACAATCAAGTTACATTGAAGGCTGGGAATCCTTTTCCAGGTCCCACAACAAACTTGCAGCAGTCTGATTGGCTTCTTCCTTGTTTGTGGCAGGCAGCTTCCATCCCAGACTACCGGGGTCCTAATGGGGTGTGGACGTTGCTCCAGAAGGGCAGATCGGTGAGGTAAGGGCAGATCCACCTCTTTGTTTCAGATTAGATACCCTACACTGCAGAAGCGCATATGCACAACCCCCTCTCGCTTGCAGCCTCCCAGTCCAGTTTGCTAGTTTGGTGGTTTAGCAGCTGAGTGAATCTAAAATTTCATCTACTGTAGTTGTTTTGCAAAGGAGCCCAGAGTTTGGATCTGAATTACCTGGCTGGAAAGATTATTCCATGTGCTCTACAGCTGTTTCTATAAAACAGCTGGCTGTGCTTCAGCGTCAATTAATTCCCATGAAGTTTCTTGTTCTTGATTCACTGTGGTGTCTGAAATACTTTGTCATGAAATAGTAAGTGGGTTGAACCGATCTATACCCTTCAGGATTTTATACACTTAAAACCACTCAGCCTCCATTCTTCAAGACTGAAGAGATTTTTGCTCCTTCCACCTCCTCATATGTGGCAATCCCATGAGACTAGGAACCATTCTTTTTTCTCCTCTTTGAACTTCTTCTAAGGATTTTGTTTGTGTTATTGTGACTAAAAATTGAGCATAGTATCCTAAATGAGGTCTGGTTAGTGCAGCGTCAAGCGTCAACTTCCATTATTTAAATTCCTCACTTCTTGCTGTGTAACCAAGGATTCTCTTTGCCTTGATAAGGAGATAAACAATCTACATAAACGCCAAGATCCCTTTGGTGAGCAGTTTCCCTCAGCTCAGAATCACCCGTGAGATATGTATAACATACTGTATGTTCCTGTCTCTTGCGTGGACTACTTTGTACTTATCAATGTTACATTAAGTTTTGCAAGTGTCTGCCCAGTCCATGAATTTGCATTTTTGGCATTTTCTTGCCACTGTTTCTGTTTTTTCCTTGGTTACTGTTTTCATATCATCAGCAAATTTAGCTAGTTTGCTAACTGTACTAAAATCTACATAGTTAATATAGATCAGGAGGAAATACAAGCCAAAAAGAGACACCTGTGCTATACCACTGCTTACATTTGCCCTTTAGAGACTATTCTCTTGCAGATGATGAATGGTATACTGTTTGTTACTCGTTGTTGATACTTGTGCTTAGAACGCCTTGGATTCCTGTGGTGTTTAATTTAAGGGATTATCTTTGTTATGGAAATGTAACTGCCCAATGTTTGATGATTTAGTGCTATAAACTGTTCTTGTTCCTTGTTTGAAGAATTCTAGTAAGTTAGACAAGATCCATCTGTTATAAATCAATATAGTCTGTCTATTAATAGTTTTCTTAAAATTCCTTTGTCTGTAGTTCTCTGCCTCAGTTTTAGTCTGTTTTCTTTAAATTTGAAATTCAAATGTGCAATTCAAATTTGCAGTTCTCCATGCCGAAAGGTATGTTCCCCTGCTAGGTGACAGTTGAAACATCCTAGACAGGGGGTCTTTAAATAACATCCGTCTTTCCTTAATTACAAGAAAATAGCATCTGCCATCAGCAATTTATTAGTTTTAAGATGTGTAAGATCTCACAGTCTGTTAAGCTACAAGTGCCCAATATTCATGGATGTCCTTTTATACCATTGGGCGTATTATTGATGACATCTATTGTAAGAACCTGTGAGAAATATTCATTTAGCATGTTGTTATTTCTGTTTCACCTTCTGTTATTGATGCTAGTGAAAAAGATCTATCATATTTTTGCCCCTGTTAGTCACAGAGAGACAGAAAAGAATATTTTTGTACAGTTTTAATCTACACCTGTACCTTTCTATATTCCCCCTATGTTTTTGACTTTTGTGACAACAGAAAGGTTAAGCTTTTGTAGGCAAGTGTTATCTTATCAAAGAATACAGTGGAGCCCGTACAGCTAAAACAGAATGAGCCTGTTGAAGTTAAATGTGTCAGAAACCTGCCCTGTCCCCTTTTTGCATAGTTTTTTTTTTTAAAAAGTAATTTAAACCCAGAGTAAGAATAATCCTGGTGTGTTTATTCGAAGAGGTTTTCAACAAATAATGCTGTTTGTGTTTTTTAGTGCTTCAGACCTCAGTGAAGCAGAGCCCACTTTGACGCACATGTGCATTGGAAAGCTGCATGAAGAGAAGCTGGTGAGAGGAAATTGAACCAAATAGCCATTAAAAATAAAATGATGAAACAGGGTTTGATGTTTTTTTTGAGAAATTGATGATAATGTATCGACAAATGTAACAGAAATCTGGCATTTGTATTGCTAAATTCTTTGGGAGTGCTTCTGCTTGTGGGCAGACTACAGACTGCAGACATTGATTTTTGCAAAACCTGAGTGCAGTTATATTTCTACTCTGAAATGTAGCTTGGCACAGGAGTGACTTAATTATTTTTGGAATACATTTTATCGCTCACTATCTTTTAACATTTTACTAGGCTGGTGTCAAGCAGTTCACTGCCAGTATGTTTTCTGGCAATGACTGTATAATTGTGGAGGTAGCAGTGGTGAGGATTGTTGAATGCGTGTTTGAAGAACGTACATGTCTGTGTGAAGGTGCAGCATGTGGTGTCTCAGAACTGCGATGGACTCCATTTACGAAGCGGACTGCCAAGACAAGCCCTCTCAGAGCTGCATGGGAACATGTACATTGAGGTGAGCAGCATCCTGTGTCCTTTTCCATTCAGCCCTGTTTTTTTCTTGGGCAGTAATGTTTACGCTGTGTGACTGTGGTGTTTAAACCAGCCCAACAAGCCTTTAGCTGGCTTTAATTGCACTTAGGGTTTGAACATAAAACCGTCTTCCACTTCATGTTGTTCTGTATCCACAAGGCCAGCGTTGCAACTGCAGTCACTAATCGAGCCAGACAGTTCCTGTCTGTAGATACTGAAAGCGGAGTGCCTTCCAATTCAGTGTTCGAAATTAATGTCTAAAGTGCTCTTAGACATTGAAAGAATACAAGAAGCAGCATACAGTATGTGGATTAAAAGCAGGAGTATTCAAGTAGACCTTAACACGCACTATACATTATAGCAACCCTGAACGTAAGAAGGGTTACAGGTGACAGGAGGCCAGTCTCAGTCTGCCTGGCCCTTTGGGTCCAGCTGGCATCCAGATGCTTCCTGAATGAAGCCACTATGTCAGTGTGGCTGGGCGTCTTGATCTGTAATCCGCACAACCTTTGTGTAAAGAAATACTTCCTGTTATGAGCTCTAACTATGCTTCCCTGTAGTTTCCACTTGTGTCCTCTAGTTTGCACTTGGCAATGTCCTTGAAGGTGCTGCGTTCCTGAATCTGGTCCCCTTGTAGTCTTCTCTGTTGAGTGTGGCGAAGACTGTTTCCTACCAGAGTAGGACTTCTACTCTAAGCCCAGGGCTGTATGTGGTGAAGGCTGGTAGTTCTGTGTGGCAGGTGTGCACCGCCTGCTCGCCGCCCGAGGAGTGTGTGCGTCTGTTTGACGTGACGGAGCAGACAGGCCTGCACAGGCACGGGACGGGCCGCCATTGCTCCCGCTGCGGCGCCGAGCTCCGGGACACCATCGTCCACTTCGGCGAGCGCGGCACGCTGGACCAGCCCCTCAACTGGAAGGGGGCAGCTGAGGCCGCAGCGAAAGCAGACGCCATCCTCTGCCTGGGCTCCAGTTTGAAGGTACGGCCTTCTGCCCTGTCTGTTGCCTGGTTAGACCCTGATCACAGGGGCTAAAGTTACACCCCTTAAAAATGCATGTTTCACATCCCGGTGGATGAAGGCAAAATATATAGCCTCTTGTCCACAGTTTGCTGTTTATTTTTAAGTAAATGAGGTGTTACACGTGCCATTTCAAATGATCTCTTATTTTGAATTGGGGAATACTGAAGAAATTAAGTATTTAGTCATCAGCTGCACTCACGTCAGAAATGGATTATGATTTTCTCTGTAACAGGTCCTTAAGAAGTATGCCTGTCTGTGGTGTATGAACAGAACTCCTAACAAGAGACCCAAGCTCTACATTGTTAACTTACAGGTGCTGCATTTACTTCATTACCAGCAGGTTTTTTAATAAAAAGAATATGATATAGATCTTGTTGTTATCTGTACATAATGTGTGAATTTAGCACTCCTATATAGATATATGCTTTCAGCAGGATATTTTTTCTCTGTTTTTTAAAGTTTATTCTGTGAAAGACTTAATTGGCTGCTTGTTATTGCCTTAGTATCTTGTGCTGAAGAGCGTTAAGTGTAAGGCTTGCCAGGAATTAATTGAAACATCTATAGGTTTTGTATGAGGTACCTGTTTTTTTCTTTTTAAATATGAATGGAATTGTGTAATTGAAAAGCCTGTGGCAATCGCATTTAAAATTTCTTTCAGTGGACGCCAAAAGATGACCTTGCGGCCCTCAAAATCCATGGGAAGTGTGATGATGTAATGAAACTTTTGATGGAAGAACTGGACATCCAGATCCCAGAATATGACAAGTACGTTTTCTTCCTTGTCGAAAACCATGTGCACTGTCATTCAGACAGGTCAAGAGCAGATTGTGTGTCAACATATGCATTAAGAGCCTGCAACAGACTCCGCCTTTTCCTGCCAAAGAACTTAAAAATAAGCCACCTTTTGTGCCTTTATTGATATATCCATGTGTCACTGCTTTTCATGAGCAATTTAACCTCAGCCAAATCGACAATGGATGATGTTCAGTTTTCAGTAGTGAATTTTCAAGCCAAGTAGCAGGTGATACCACAAATACGCAAATGCATTTAATATATTGTTGGGTGTCAGTAACCTACTAATTGTAGATTTATTTCAAAAGATACAAATTAAATCGGAGTATATATTTTACAGTGTGTTCCTTTCCGCATAATAGTGACTATCAATTTGACTATGAGGTCAGTTGATAAAGTAGGCATTGATTGTAATTATATCTGGGTTTTCATTGTGCTGCTTTAAAGTCCCATTCCCTACCATGTGTCCAGTTATAATATTGGTAGCTATTCGCCTGCAAATCAAGTCTGTTTAAATTAGGGTATATGAATAGCGAACGCTTACCCAACCACTGCCCTCGCTGAGCATTGCTGATTTCTAAGTACTGTCTTTGTGTAGAATTCCTTTTATGTATGCCTTTGTCTTTAACCCTCAGTGTAGTCCTTGCACTGAGGTTTGTTATCAAAGAACCAACATCAGTAAACTGCTGAAAAATGACACAATGAAAAGCTGAGTGTTCAGCTCAGCGCAAGATTGCATTAGCCAAACACCAAACTGCCTAACTTTCATGTGGCCGAAAGTGCTAAATGCATAAGATACGTTTAATTCTCCAGTTCAACAATCCTGACCTCTTCCAGAGCTTTAAATTAAGGCTGTGTTGTCTTGTCTTTTTTTCTAACAATGAAAGATGAGTAAACAGTCAAGATGAGTAAACTCAAGTTCAGATATCACCTTGTTTTTTGTGTTTTTTTTTTCCTGGTGGCAGGTCCAAGGATCCCATTTTCAGCCTTGCTACTCCGCTGAGGCCAGAGGAGGCGGACAGTCACCACCGAAAGCTGATAGCGCCACCTTCAGGACGGCCAGCAATCTTCCAGGGCTCTGCAGAGGAATGTGGCAGGGCTCCTGTGCAGGGAGGGTGGTTTGGCCGTGGCTGTTCCAAAGGAAGGAAGAAAAAGAAGCCGTTGAGTTTAAAGTGACAGGAAAAAAAAACATGAAAGTATTCTGCAGTTGTGCAGCTGAACTGTTGATCGACAGTGTTAAGATCTGTAACAGAAGAACTTCTGTTGTCACCCTCTTTACCATCTCAAGAATTCCCTGAAGGTGCAGACAGAACGTTGGAGTCTGTTTATTGCATTTTAAATTTGCGCCTTATGTTCTGCTCAGGAATTTAGTCAGAGTGGCACCTTAGCTTAAGAGGTACAACTATTGCACTGACAAAACGTCTGTGGCCTGGAGCCCTGGAGTAAAACTATCTGTTAGAAAATGAAATAAGAGGAATTTACCAATCGTTTTACTAAAGAGCAATACATTTCAAATGTATAACTTGGGGTTTCAGCTTGGTGCTGTAGGATTTAACCATAACATTTGTTTCAGTTGGATGCCTTATGATATATATATATATGTATTTTCTGGGCAGATTTAAAATGAGCCTGCCAGTGTTTACAGAAACAAACCTCAGGAGAGAACTCAGGGGAGAAGCGTTTAAAAACGGGGGGCCTTCGTGCTTGTCTGAGGTGCTTAAGCCATGTTGAGCTTCCTTGTATGGTTATACTTGAAGACTTGAGAAAGCGTCTGCAGCCAACTCTTACTTATGTACCACCAGTCCCAGGTAATTTTTTCTACACTTCTTTTTCTAGTATAATTCTATTTATGGTGGTTTTGATTTTTTCCCCTCAAACTCTTAATATTGTGACTGCAATAGTATTTCCGAACGGCTGAGACGAGCACGGGTCTTGTCACCTTGCTTTCTGAACTGTTTACTTCCTCTGAAGAATTTTTCAAAAGTGTTTGTAATAAGACCTACAGTACTTGTGTTTTGGCTATTGAAACGCCTTTTGTTTTCCCCAGCGGATTTTCAGTATTGCTGCTGCATTCATTCTCCTACTGCTACCTGGACAGTAAAACTGGAGATAATAAAATAACCTTTTGGAATATTGTGGATGTGCCTTTGGTCTTTGTGTCTTGAGAAACAACCTGACGGGACGTGAAATTACATTACGCCCACCACATTCTTTTTCACCGTGATCTCCATCCGTATTTAAGCAATAGCAACTAGAATGCTAATCGCATTGACTTTTGCAGATACTAAATGAGTATCTTGAAGAAAATAGCTTTATATGATGTTTAAAGACTAGGCTTTGATAAAAAGATAATGCTGTTAAATCGGATTCGTGTTTGACAGACCGTGATTGCTCTTTCGTTTAATGAAATTAATGTAAAGAAATCGAACCACCAGCTGATCATAGGGTGGTGGCGGCGAGTGTAAAAAAAAAAAAGTCACATGACGGTGGAAACCTGTACCTGTTAAGATGTCGGCCACCAGAGAGGGTTCAGTCATGTGTCTTTTGACGTAGCCAACTCCTCCCATGACGCCATGTCCCCGGCACGAATGAGGTTCTTCCCTCCTGCCTTTCCGTCACTCCTCTGCAGACACCGGCTAAATGTGGAGTGAGGGGCTTTAACATCTGTCATTTCCCCTTTATAAACTTGTTTTTTTATCGGTTCATGACGGATTTTGCTATTTTAATATATATATATATGTATTAAACAATTACCCCTAACGCAGTCGCATTGATTGTATTTGTAGAAGGCCAGATCTCTGTGTTTTAAGATGATCAAGAACGGTCACCACGCAACCAAGGAGTCCGGGAACGAAGTCGGGGCTGGTCCTGGGGGCACCGCCGGCAGCCCGGAGAAGAGGAAGCGGGTTGTCCGTGTGTGGTGTGACGGCTGGTGAGTGCGGTACAGTGCGCTGGGTCGCGGGCGATTCGGAGAAACTGACATCTTCGTCCTGAAACTTGACGGGGAGTGCATGTTGGAACGTCATTGAGTTCAGTCACATTTTGTAACGTTATGCAACGGGGATTTTGGTACAGCGTGTACCCGATTTAATTCTGCAGTAAAGAAATCGGAAGCGGCCTTTTTTTAACGCGGTTCTCATATGTGATTCTGTTCATTTAGCGAGTTGCCCCCTCCTAAGTGTCAGGTTGCGTTTGCCCAGGCGTAATTTTACTACTCCGCGAAGCCTACGTCTGTTATCTGGTGGTGGGGTTTGGGTGTCAACTAAAGGCGAGCATTTTATTTTAATTTCTTCGGTCATACTTAGTTTGAGGATTCCTTAAGATGCTAATTCCTCCTACCTGCTACTTTTACTCCTTTTAAGCTTTTATCACAGTCATCGTCTTCGATCAAATTCCGAGTGTGCACAGTGATGATGCACATTGCTCAAGCGTTAGCGCCCAGCTGTCTAAATGACCGATCGCGTAGGCAGCGTAAGCACCACAGCAACATTTCTACCTTTTAATAATTTGTGAGGTCGAAAGAGAGCTGTTTCAGCATCGCGCTGATCAGAGCTGTATGTGCTGGAAGTGACCCCCGTCTGTATCTCCAGCTGCGGTGCCACCCAGGCCACTTGATTTAAAAAAACCAGATGCAGATTCTTAATAGCGTTCATTAGAGCCCGTCAGGCGTGTCACAACTTGGCTGTTTTGTTTGTTAAATAGAATTCATGAGCTGCAGATAATCCCGCAGGATTGAAACACTCAGCCTTTAGGAGCTCATTATGGTAGAGTAGCTGTATGGAATTCCTCTGCCATCTTCCTTTTTAAAAAATAAATGTCATGTAGCTACACATGACAGAACCACACTCATATATGCCTGATCGTGTGGTGCATTTTCACATAATTGGAAGAATCGGGGTTTTATGAACCCATAGGGAATGTAGCTCTGGAAATTCCTGAGTGCAACAGAAGAGATTCACTAAGCAGTGTGAAGTCCACGTTCCTGTTCTTGGGGCCAGCAGGTGCTGAGAGTCGAAAGTATTGATTCTCTTGGAAGCTGGGATGTACATCTTCACCAATATCTTCCTGTGCTGCTAATGCTAAGTATTATGGGCTGGGAGAGTCGCTCTGTGTGCTGAAGAATAGCTTGGCCTTCAAGCTTACACTTCTTAAACATTCCAGAAGACAGTGTCTAATATTCTGCTCCGTCAATGCACAGAGAGCCTCCTCCACGCTTTGTCATCAGTAGCACAATAGAGTATGTAAGTGCTGCCATTGTTCTGAACTGCAGAGCCAACCCACTCAAAGCATCTGGGCGCTGTGCTGCAGTCGAATAGTGTAAATCACTGTTCGGTAAACTTTGAAACGTAAATCGTTGGTCCGTGGGCCTAGTTGGTGAAACAGTGTCCTTAAGTGAAGTGAATTGCTGAAGACTGACAGGCTATAGTCTCACCTGGTTCCCCTGCCTTCAGACGCTGGCTCTGAGTTGTTGTGACTCATCTTTCTGATAACGTGGATGAACTTGTACGTGACGTTGTTTCAAGGGAGGGCCTCTGCGATAATAGACTTGCCTCAGCGACTGCACAATTTATTTGATGTCTTGTGTTGACGTCTATAAGGGTGGTGCAGTGGTTAGCATTGTGCTGAGCCCTTAGGTTCTACTCTGGTTCTATCTGGGGTACTGGCTGTGTGGACTTCGTATGTTCTTTTCGCGTTTGTGTGGGTTTCCACTGGGTGCTCTGGTTTCCTCCCACAGTCCAAAGACATACAGTACTTGTAGGTTCATTGGTTTCTGGGAAAACCGGCCCTGGTGTGTGTGTCTGTGTGTGTCTGTCTGCCCTGTGATGGACTGGCGTCCCGTCTAGGGTGTATCCTGCCTCGCGCCCGTTGCTTGCTGGGATAGACTCCGGCTCCCCTATGACCTTGACCTGGAAGAAGCACTTAGAAGATGGATGGATGGATGGATGGATGGATGTTAAAAAAAAAGGTTACTGTGTTGAGAGATGTGTTGCTACCCTCTAGCCTGGTCTTGTCAGACCTTGAAAACTAAGCACAGCTCAGGCAGGTCCTGGTCAGTACTGGGAGGGGAGACCTCTGAGGAGATGTAGGTTGCTGCTTTCAGTTGTGCCAGCGAACTGGTAGGTGGACATCTTTCTTGAGCAGATTTTCCAAACCATTGCTCCAGTATGGCGATCGGGGATACGGGGATAAGCAGGCCGTTGTAAATAGCCTCCGCAGCCTCAGCTCACAGCCTCAGCACAACTGCAGTCATATTTCTTTTGGTTCACAAGGAAAACGAACTGAAAACGAGTGCCAGGTGACTGTTTATGTTCCTGATAAAGCCGCTGACGGCTGGACACATGGGTCCTGTTTTTTTTAAGTTCATTCTAATTTTTTAGAAAGTGTGTGTAGGCAGGTTGCGAAAGATGGATTTTTATGAGGAAGAATCCTATGAAAGCAAAATAAGGATGACACATAGATAAAAAGAATTTCAAAAAGCTGCTGAACAGAAAGAACTGTCATCTGCCGAAGGTTCAGCCCAGGCGGTTTGAATTTGTTTTTGTGAAGGACAGGATTATGGTGGCATTGTCTTGTAGGATTCCAGTAATTTCCCTCTCTCTCTCTCCCGCCTCTAATGTGACCCAGTGGAATGTTGGCGACGAACTTGTGTACCAAAAAGCTAAACAATGAGATGCATCTGAGCATGGCAGGTTGCTGTGTCTTTTCCACACGTGTCGTTGATGTAATTTTCCCCCGGAATGTGCAGTCCTCTCTTTCTGGAGGGGAATTTCTGTCTGCATTAAGCGCGCGCGGTATTCTGGCATGAGAGATCAGCAGTTAGCGTGGCCGGCGGGAGTCTGAACTAAGTTTATAACAGTGCTGCAGCTGACTGTCACGGGTGCTGCCATTGAGGCTGTCAAAAGCTGCCTTAAAAAAAAAGCCCACTGAGATCCTGTAGTAAGGGGATGATAGAGGTCAAAGCTTGTGTTTACGAGCAGCCAGCATAAATATAGTAACGTCATCACGTCGGTTCCAAAGTCTTTCCCAAGCCCCAAGCACTACCTGCTCCACTGCTCCAGTCCCAGTCCCTGGCAGGGTAGAGGAAGAGTGTTCAGTAGTGTGCAGACCTGCGCTGTTTATTCACTGGGGACAGAGGGTGAAAGGGGAAAGTCTTTAGACTGCCTGCACTGCTCTGTGACGTTGGACTGACACCTGCCCCACTTTTGAATTTCAAAATATTAAACAAAAAAAGTCCTGTCCTTAGCAGGCATGCCTGCAGAAGACTGCTACATAGATAAACTGAGTGTTAAAGAATAAGAACATTTCTTATTGATGAATGAAGCGCCAGGTAGTGAAGTTGCCATTCATCACTACAAAGGAAGTTCTGTAATGACAAGCCACCCTGCCAGGACCATCACACTCGTTAAGGCCAGCCTTCCCATTGGCCTTAACAAGGTGTCATGACTTACAGCCTTCGGTCTGGAAGACCAACATTAGTGGGCTATTAGGCTGTAAAGCTTTGCCAGCATAGATACTGTTGTATTGCTGGCTGTGAACATCCCAGACTCTGAGTGACAGTGCACAGACTTAGTCCAGCCTCCAACATACTGAAAGCACGAAGGTGTCGCTCTTCTGAAAAGCAGGGGATATTGGTTCCTTTCTGTGTTTTTTTTCTTCCTTCATCTTCAGGACTTACATTTAGTAGGCTAAGTGACGTCTCTACCTGTTTCCAATCAGCTTTTTCACCAAGGAGCTGTTAATGATCACTGAATAAATGAATCAAATAAATGAATATTTAGTAGTGAACTTGATTACAGATGTCTTTGCACCTGCGCTGCTTTGCACTGTACAGCTGTCAGGAAGAATGACCTGCAGTTACCTTTAGTTTACCAGAGGTAGGCACCTATCTGAGGCTAATGCTGCAGTAAAGTTACACTGACACAGGTGGCCCTGTTAGCAACAGCTGTTTTACCTGCTCCCCAGCAGAAGCAGCAGCTAAAGTCCTGTATTTATTGTAGATATTAAGGATGCTGATAGCAATCAGTACAAGAGCTGTCATTCTTAGGTGCAACACAAAGTTAATCCCTTCTTACCTTTTTTAATATTTATCAGCGAGAAACAAGTTCACATTTGGCTTGTCAGTCACAGGAGCAGTCTTTTTTCCATCCACGTTTATAACAGTATGTGCCTTTGTTTCCCACTTTAAGGTAGGCGCTTGATGTTCGTTTTCAGTCAGCAGCTGTGCTCATTAATATTTCAGCACAGTTCAGAGTGCTCTTCTCGAGTACTGCTCCACTCCGAGAAACAGAGTGACCATTCCTCTTCCTTGCATAGTTTTTCAGTTTAAATGCGCCAGCTGTCTTGTTTCTTTGTAAGCTCCCACACATTTTGAATTGACAAACTGAAGTTGTTGCAGCTACTTCTACTGCTACAACCCTCATGGTATCACATTACAATGATATACAATAGTGTTACTGTCCCTCACTGCCTCTTATCCTCTTGAAGGTGTTGTCTATGGGACCTAGACTGATATTGTCTGTCAACTGGATGGTGATTTTGTCTCAGATTTGTTTGTGGAGTAATCTATATATTTCAGGGTTTTCTCTCTCTCCAGTCCCAGATCACTGCTGCAGCTTTAGGTGTAGGAGGGCCAGTCAAATCACATTTGTTTTTTTCAACTGCAGTGCAGATGAAATTTAGCAGACATCATAAGGTTTGCAAAACTCCTAACTTGTGTGCTTTCTCCTGTTTGAAGACTAAAGTGATCGTAAACTGTAGGACTTGGTCTGAATGACTGCTTGGCTGTTATTTAAAGCTGTATCATGGGAGCCTTTATTACAAGGCAGTTCCCTTACCCAAGGAATTATAAATCATGATGATGGAGATAAGATCACTTTATTAGCCATATTCAATTTCTTGCATTCGCATACCCCAGCTTGCTCTCCATGGGACACACGGGGGGAGAGAAGCCTGGGGTCAGAGCACAGGGTCAGCCATTGCACAGCACCACTGGAGCAGTTGGGGTTAAGGGCCTTGCTCAGGGGCCCAACAGAGTAGGATTCCTCTGCCGCCCGCGGGATTTGAACCGGCAACCTTCCAGCCACAGGCGCAAATCCTTAGCCACAGAGCAACTGCTCTGCCCAGTAATCCCTCCGAGAGTTTGTACAGTATATGTTGAGTGATGAGGTGTAAGTAATCTGAAACTTCAGTGAGGTACAGATGTTCTTAATATATTTCAGCAGAATGGAAACTATTCTGTGACATGAGATTACATTTCTGTTGCTGTTAAGACAGAGGAAGGCAACATGGGCCCGATGTACTGAAAGGCTCCTGTTTAACTTAAGACCGCAAACATTTTAAGTTATTGAATTCTGCCAAGTAAGTTCCTAGGGCGTAAATAGGCAGCAAGCCAGAAGTCATGGATAGTGCCTTGTGGACTAGTTAACTCAGATTATGGATTGCAATTAAGGTAATATTCTTATACTTTTTTTAAGTGGCAGATTTGTGACTTGATTCAGAAAAAGAGAGGGTTAAGAAATTTACTGTTGTGCCTTTTTGGCAGCATGAATATCTGAACTCTGTTGATGCATGATGACTGCTCAGATGAGGACTCTGACTCGGAGGAATCTGGCTTTCATTTGAATTTAAGTTGTATGTGATATGCAGTGTCCTTCCACTTTAGGCACAGAAGCTGGTGAGGTGGTACTGTACTGTAGGGGAGATACTGGGGAACAGATTTATATTAGTGGAAGGCTAAAATTAAAAAGGTGTTGTGGTTTTAGTAAATTTATTAAAAAGAGTACGGCCAAATCAAAGGATGTTTCGAGAAGGTAAAAGTTATTTTTTTGTGAGTTTTACCCACCTCACCCTCCCGCAACCTCAAGGATAAGGATAATTTTATTGATGTGATGCCCCTGAAACAATTCATTCAGGGTTGCAAGTAAATCATGGTGAGGTGGGATTTTATGTGGACTGCAGGATACTGCCTTAAAATACATGCCAAATTGCTTAATCTTCTTGCAGAGTGAGAGGTTGGCATCCTAATTCAGATAAAATCTGTGGTATAAGTAAGCAGTTGGGATACGCCATTCATAACTGCTGTGTGGGCTTTTTATAATCCCGAGTTGGTGTTAATCTAATTACCACAGGATATACAAGAAGAATTTTCATGGATAGCACTGAGGTCAACAGATGATAAAACCTGTCTGCTGTAAGGAGCACTTTAACTTCCCATTGACCTCGAATTGAAGATAAACTGCAGGATATTTTGTCTTTATTCAAAGTAAGTTATTACTTTCCATCTAATAAGGCTGTGTGCATTTCAAACAGTAGTTGTTTGGCAGTAATAAAGCTTTTGGACTTTGTACGCTACATTTATAATTGAGCTTGCCCTGATCCAGTGTGGTGACTACATTTTCCTGTACCTTATCTGAGGGAACTGCTCAGTTCAGTAAATAGCAGGAGAATAAACCTCTGTGGGAACCTCACCTAAGGTTCCCAAAGCAGTAGAAAAAATAACAATTTAATCCAAAAGTAGACCAGAGCCTGTACAGTGCACTGGATCATAAATCTCATGCTGTGCCCTGAGGCTTAGAACTGCCCTTTGGACCCTGCTGCTGGGTAGTGTGTAATCCTGCTTTTATATATTTATATATAGCCAGTAAATTGTAATTGGTGGTATAGACACTTTGAAGAAAACTCTTCACTCAGCAGAGTCCTTTATTCATGCGCATGGAGAGGATACAATCATACAGATATGAGAGCAGCCTCACCAGATGATGTCAAAGGTAATGGGTTTTATATAGCAGATTCAGGGTAACATAGCTCATTCTAAATTTCCATGTTAGGAGCTGTTTTTCTCTACAAATGTTTCTTTGCAACTGACCACTTTATTCTTAAGAAATGAAAATTCACCTTTTATTTGGTGAAAAGGAAGTATACCAATAGAAGGTGTGAAATCAGAAAGATAAAAAAATGTGCCTGCAATTTATTCCTTCATACTGTTGCTAAGTAAAAGGCATACAGTATTAGCAAAGACAAATAGTTACTATTCCTCACGCAGAATCCAGAATGACTTCAATGCTCCCCACCCTTACTCCTGCACCTCATGCTACCTTCAATAGCCATTTCTTGCTGCCCTCTGGTGCCTCGCGCCCTGTGTCTCCCGCGAAAGCGCCAGCATGCCCTTGTGTTTGTGTTTCAGCTATGACATGGTGCACTACGGCCACTCGAACCAGCTGCGCCAGGCCCGGGCCATGGGCGATCACCTCATCGTCGGCGTTCACACGGACGGTAAGCTGGAAAGACAGTTTGCCGCGGTTGATTTCGATAAAGCAGAAGCCACCAGCGTCAAACTCCTACCTGGACATCAGGCCGGCGACGGCCAGATTCCAGCGTGGCCCGTTTCTGGTATCCCCTCCTAACTGACTGTGACCCGCTGTGGGCTCTTGTGGTAAAGCACGGGTCCTGATACATGAGAGCACAAGTTACGGCTAATCCACAGCGGAGAAAAAAGGTCAGCCATTTGCTCTTTCTGTTGAGGTCCCTACCAGCAGAAACTCACAGCGAGGCTGTTCCTTATAAAGGGAGTGCGCTAGTAAGAGATCTGGTGTTTGGTACTCTGCACATGTTCTCAAAGCTTCAAGAGCAGCTCGTCAAACCGTGGCTCGTCATCCATCCAGCGATGACTAATGGAGCGCGTTCAGGGTAGAATCCAGATTCATGCTCTGCGTGAAGAGGGCGATGATTCTCCTGGTTGATTCTTGTTTTTGTTTGCCTGCCCTGTCTCTCTCCGTCCTCCACACCCCAGAGGAAATAGCCAAGCACAAGGGTCCTCCGGTGTTCACCCAGGCCGAGAGGTACAAGATGGTGCGTGCCATTAAGTGGGTGGACGAGATTGTGGAGGGGGCCCCGTACGTCACCACTCTGGAGACCCTGGACAAGTACAACTGCGACTTCTGCGTCCATGGGGGTAGGCGATCGTTGGCGCAAAGATGCCCGAAGGAGATGTAGATGTTAAAGAGCAATGAGAGCAAGGCAGTTTGTTTTTTTTGCGCAATTAAACAAAAATAAAGTATATATTTCATTTATTGTCTAAATCGAAACATACTAGCTTCCTCTGGGCCCTGACTTTACAGAGACATTGAAGAGTTTGAGATGTTAGAAATTGGGGATCCTTAAAATAAGTAAGCAAGTGATTAGAAATGATGTTTGGAATAGAGGATTGAAACGGCACTGAAATCAAATTCAGCATTCAGCAACCTTTAGCTTTTTATATTATAGTGATTTAACAGGTGCTTATGACCAGAGGTGTAAGACATGCGTCAACAAGAAGTGGTATAGAGTCATGTACATTACTGCCTAAGTGTTAAAATTTCTTGGGGTAACACAGAGTGATCCGTGTGCCTGAACTGGAGCCCCTCTCCCTTCTCTGCAAGCTCAGCCCTGGACGTTCACGTACAAACAATGAGAAAATGTTCCTGTTTCATTGCAGATGATATCACGCTAACTGTGGATGGCAGAGACACATATGCAGAGGTTAAGACATCAGGAAGATACAGGTACTGTAGGATTAAAGGATGTAAAAACATTTAAAAGGATCTTAGACACATGACTTGCTTGGGGGTGGATCTTAGGATGACTTCATTTTAGCCTGATATTTCTAGAAATACGGAGACTTGAGGGGTGCATTTTCTCTCCTTTCCTATATCCACTTAAAATCCAGATTGTTTCCAGTTTTTTATTTTAAAAAAAGTCCCATCAGTTTCTCTTTTTGCACCATTGCCCTTTTTTCATGCTGAATATTCCCCTTTACACATTCCCTCCTGACTTGCAGACATTTCTCTGAGTGGTGTGTTTCTGCTAACTACCGTTTCCACAGAAAGACTTCTCTAAACATGGGGAAGTGGTGTAAGGTAGTGTGTCAGTCTTGTACAGTCTCCCCCTTTTAACTGTTTTGTTTGTGTCTTTATTTTTGTTTTATACCCGTCCAATTTGAATCCCCACTTGTTCCACTGAACTGGGTGGGGAGGGTGTGGTTGGACAGACGCCCTCCCACTCCCCACGCCACGGTGGCAGCTAAAGCCTATAAGACAACCGGCTCCCTTTAAAGTCCTGCTCTTGCATTTAGCCAGTTCTCTCCATTCAAGAGGCCATCAGCTCCAGTGTTCAAGTATCTGTCTTTTACTTTGTCTTAACCAGCCAGGTCAATTGAGAGCAATGACCGCCTGGGCTAGATGCTCACATCAGTACAGCAGAAACCCATGACACAACAAGTTTAAAAGAAAATAAATAGGGAGCTGCTGTTTCACCCAACCCTGTCTTACCAGTAGGGTAATGTAAGCTTATATTTGTACGCTTGTATCATAAGGGATATGATGGCAGAAGGAAATATTGGGTATTTAAACTCTTCTTACTTTCTGCAAGTATTGGCTATGGTTTACCTTCTCGTTTTAACTAGGGTATATATGCAGCCATGTTTTCTGCAACACTCTTAAGCTCAGAGAACACTTAAGGGGAAAATTAACTTAAGGCTTTTATTCAGCTGGCCATAGAACGTGACTCTAACTAAGACCTCCATGCAAACAGATTAAAATAGGCGCCAGTGTCTCATTTCCGTCATTTCGGAAATCAGACTGCGGCCTCTCAGTTCTCAACCAAGGGCATTGTGTGTTGCAGGGAATGCAAGCGGACACAGGGCGTCTCCACCACGGATCTGGTTGGCCGAATGCTCCTCATGACGAAGGCTCACCACAGCAACATTGTGAGTGCCCCTCTGTTGGCCAGCCCAGCAGCAGCCCTGCTTTCACTGGGCACGGTAGAAAGGGACAGGGGTCGGCCCTTTTTCATCTTTGAACACTAACAGGTTTAGCCACAGCTCCCCAAAAATTACCTTTGATTCGTCAAATAGAAATGAATATTCTTAATTAATGCACTGAACCTGTCTATGCATTGAGAGTGGTTTTGTTGTACGATTAACTGATTTGTTTTGTTAAAGATTAGCCAAGCCAGTCAAACACCTTACTGCCTTCTGGTGAAAGATGAGGCGCGTCATTACAATTCTAATGCAGTGAAGGTTTAAGACAAACCCCTTCACGGTTCATTCGGTATCGGTTTGCCAAAGTCTGCATTGGTTACTTATGAAAATGTGTTGGTTTTTTTTGTCGCTCATTTAATGTGAACAGCTTTTTTTCATTAATCTGTTCTTAATCTCTTTGCAGGATAAATCAGATTACCAGCAGCATACGGACAACTTTGGAAAGGTGCGTTAGTCTCAATTCTGCATTTTCAGCTGTTTAAATTTTAATTTGTCTGAAAGGACCGTGATGGAAATGCCAATCCTCATATAGGTACATGTATACAATTAGGCAGGTGAGGAGAACTTAATAAAGTATTTAAAAAATATAGCAGAGGCTGTCAACACTCTGTACTGCTTTTCCAACACCAAAGCAATAAATAGCTTATTTATAGCTATTATGCCAGGGAGGCAGAAGTTTTGCCATAATCAGCTTGCTTGAATGATGTTTTAGTGGCTAGGAGTACGGTGCTCCTTTTTTACTGGGTTGCGTATCGAGTGTTGTTTAGTATCAACACAACCTTTAGACGGTCTGTCCTTCTTCTGCGCTGTTCTGTTTTAATGAATGGCTGGCATCTGTGAATGCTAGCTTGGCTAAAAACAAAGGAGTTTGTTGTGGTCAGTTTTATAGTTGATACTAAGGTGGCTATGGCCCAAGAATAGGGAGCTTTATTGCAGAATAAGATATTGTTCAGTGATCAGTCACTCAGAGACACTGCAGATCTGAGTTTGTGTAGTCAAAGGTTGCTGCATTTTCAAATATGACGAAAAAAGCATAACGTGTGTAACATCTCCATGAAACGGGCAGAAGTTATTTTGCAGGATGAAACTAGAACAGTCATGTTAATATTTATTGTGGCCACATGGTGGTGCGTTGAGACCAAGTAGTGCTGTGCTCAGAAGTATTTTATCCTGCATGTGAACGCTTTACTTTACTTTCTTTTTCATCTCTGGTTGATTTATTTCATGATAGCGCACTGGTTAGCGTGGCTGCCACGCAGCTCTGCGGACCTGGGCTCAATTCCTGGAGTGCAGTCAGTGAGGAGTTTATATTTGGAGTATATATATCCTGTGGTCCTGACCCTGGTGTAAATGTCTGTGTGCCCTGTTAAGGACTGGTGTCCCGTCCAGGGTGTACCCTGCCTTGCTACCGTTGCTTGCTGGGATAGGCTCCAGCTCCACAACCTGATTTGGACGTAGGGGTTAGAAAATGGGTGGATGGATTATTGATTAACATTACAGAATGGGGTACCTTGAAAACGACCTATATTTCAGGTAAAAAGATCCATGTCAGCAGCCACACCGAAGGTTATGTGCAGACATTCTGTAGTTTTGCAGAGTTTGGTGGCCAGGGTTTTTATTGTGATGAGGTGTCTGTGTTCTGTGAGCCACAGGGCCCTACAAGCCGCAGTCCCTGGACAGGCGTATCCCAGTTCCTGCAGACATCCCAAAAAATCATCCAGTTTGCCTCTGGGAAGGAGCCGGAGCCCGGAGACACTATCATCTACGTGGCAGGAGCCTTCGACCTCTTCCGTATCCTTCTCACTACTTCGCAATTTTAACATTTAAAATGAAAATTAAAAAAACAACCTGAAATTGCTGATTGATTAAATTATTGATTGGTGAATTTCAGATTCTGTTCAGAAAGGCAAGGGAAAATCACTCAGAGCTTTCTGTGGATTCAGGGGAATCTTTTGTCTCTTACAATCTCAGTATTTTACCACGAATTACTTTGCTTTCAGGTGTAGAGGGCTCGGGAGGGATTTGACTGGTTTGAGGGGGTTATTGAGGCTTTGTTTGTGGGTCTTGTCAGGCCCATATTATGTACTATGGATCTCCAGGTAGAGGTAGAGATGTCTGGGTCATTGTTACAAAAGAGTCAACTAAATGCACCCTTCCCTCTCTAATCGAGCTGCTGTTTGTAGGCTTCACAAAACAATAACTTCTCTCTCCAGCTCTGTAGTGCTTGCTTCGCTCCCAGTTGCCTGTGGGCTGGCGTTGGTTTCTTCTCCTTCTTGTTCGGACTCTTGGTTCCTTGCAATCCAGAACGTGTCCTGCAAGCGCTAGCTGACCCACGTTTTCCTCCAGCATATCAACCGATAGTGTTGGTCTTCCCATTTTATCCTCTGTCCATGACTCTTCTCCCTCACTGTGGGGTTGGACTAGGAGGACTATCTTCTTCCTCTGTCTCTTCCAGACTTGCTAGAATCCATAAGGCACCTCCAACCCTCATGACACCACACTACCCCTGCCTGCCCTTAACAGCACCTATAGATATCGGCCATGTGGACTTCTTGGAGAGTGTTTATAAGCAATCGGATAAGCCATATGTAATTGTCGGGCTGCATTTTGACCAGGTAAGCCATAAGGTTTCCAAAGCTTGTGTGAATGAAAACAGCATGAGTGTTATAGTACTTGCTTCTTAACGCATTATTTCTGCTGATGTGCAACAAAATATTTTTAATGCAGAAGGCTTTAACAGATTGCATCTTGGGCTAGACCTGATTAGCAGTAAATAAACGTGATTGTCATTAGATACCAGTCATCCTGGATTTTTAGGGAGTGTTTTTGAGAGCTGTATGCAAGTACTTTAGCACCGAAAGAAACTATTTTCTATGAATGTGTTGGCAGAATGCATTGCTCAACAGGATCTTCTTTCTGCATTTTATGAGAGGAAAAAGAAATGCTGGTGTGTCTTTGCAGGAAGTGAACCGGTACAAAGGAAAGAACTACCCCATAATGAATGTTCACGAGCGGACTCTCAGTGTGCTGGCCTGCAGGGTGAGTGCTCTGGGCTCTCACACATCCACACTGCACACTGGCAATCGGCAACACACAAGTGGACCTTCACATATTCACAGGAAGTCAAAGTAACTAAACGTTATCTGTTCTGTGCCAGTGAAAAGCTGTATTATTTCACCCTTGGTGAAAGAAAAGGGTGAAAGAGGAAGAGAGCCGCAAAAAGACAATTGACTGCATTTATACGCTGCCCTGTAGCAGTCAAAGTTACCAGTTTTACCAGGAGATCTTATTTTCAAGTCATTGTTCTAGTGCTCACCCTGAAAATGAGAAATGGCGGGAGGAGCTAATCACATGCGGATTTTTCCCAGGATTCCGTCGGGAATAATGCCAACCGATAATGCAAAAGTGCGGCCCATTGACTTTAACGCTCTGCGCTGTGTTTTTCCCAGTACGTGTCGGAGGTTGTGATCGGAGCTCCCTACGCTGTCACTGCAGACTTGCTGGATCACTTCAAGGTAAGAGGGGGAGAGACGTTGCCTGCAAGGGGAAAGGGGGGATTGGCGGTGAGGTTTGCACTGCTGGCGGTCATCCCTGGTAGCTTACGCATCCCTCCCTCTCTGCAGATTGACCTGGTGTGTCATGGGAAAACTGAGGTGTTTCCAGATAAGGACGGGTCTGATCCGTATGCTGTGAGTACTTTTGCACGATAACCATCCACCCTGTATTTTCCGTGGTAAGGTAGTGTGTGAAGGCCTAGGTCTGTGGGGACGACAGCAGAAGCAGAAAAGTTCTTACCATAAACGTAACGGCATCATCATTCTTGTGCTTTCCTTCGCACTTGACTATTCTTATCGGAAATAAACCCATTTTATGGCTCATTGGTAGTCTGGGAGATCTACACTGTTGTCCTTTGGTTTGATCATTGTGTGTATGGCAAATGTTTTCTTTGTTCAACCTGTTTCCCTTTAAATGTAGGAACCCAAGAAACGGGGCATTTTCCATACTGTTGACAGTGGAAACGACCTGACCACCGATGACATCGTTCAGAGGATAATTAAGAACAGGTGAATCCTGCTCCATGGTGGCTGGCTTATTTCAGAGCTCTCTAAAGCAGGGGTTTCAAACTCAGCCTAGGGTTGATTGATTTTTGTTCTGTCTCGTTCTGACTGTTTTGTTTCATAGTTGGCCTTGTTATTCAAAACTTCTAACAAGGCTCGGAAGTCTTTTATGTGCTGAGTGTCAATGGACTTGCGTCAGTAGCATTTGTTGCATTTTTAATGCCTCTTAGTGTAGGTAACTGTAACTTAATGAAGTGAGTAGTTAGAGTAATCAGCTATAAAAGACCTTAAGAAAAATCCTGTATATATCTCCCTGAGATAAAACTTAGTCTTATATTGTTGCATCAATTAATAGCAAACACTCAGCACTGTACAGCAGTGGTTCTGTGTCTTGGGGTTGTCAGACTGCGTCAGAGGACGAGGCACAGCCCACCGATCAGTGCGGGCTGGACCTCAGTTACACCAACTGTGTTTCAGGCTCCAGTTTGAGGCACGAAACCAGAAGAAGGAGGCCAAGGAAATGGCAGTGATACAGGCCATGAAGAAACGAGAGGAGGAGAAAACCAAACAGGAGCAGGACCAGACTCTGCCACAGGACGAGCAGGAGAACTGAGCTGTCTGGAAAACACCGGGGGGAGGGGGGGGCTGTGCTTTCTGCACAACACATAATACAGTTGCTGGCATCAGCTGGTCTGTGTTTAACCTCAGCAGTAGTGGCAACAGGGGGTTGACCAACCTGCACACAACACTTCTTGTTAACTTCTTGTTGTCATGGTTATTTGCCCCATCTCTTTCTTCATTCAGCAAGGTGTCAGTGAGCCGGTTGTATTTATTCCTTAATGCATTCTATTCTTCCCTGGGATTCCTGGTCTTTATGAAATCCTTTTGCCAGAAAGATTAGTCAAGGTCATTTCTATTAAGAAGTTCCATTTAAAAAGTTAAAAGTTAACTCAAACTTAAAATTAATTACAGGAAACACCTGTTGTGAAATCCAGCTCTCAGTACAGGAATAGATTTAACAAAGCGCTACAGCTGAAAATATGGAATAAATTCACGATAACTGAGCTTTCTGATTACTTCTAAAATATTCTGTAGTCTAAAGAGAAGTAATAGACAAAATTAAGTGACTATTTTAAAAGGCACTCCTTAAGGATGGCTTAATATTTTACATTTTAATAATTTATTATGTTTTTAATGGGGGAGAATATGGCAGATGTTTTAAGTGATATGAGCCCAGACCATGGGCCATACTTATAAAAACAGCACCTTTTTACGTTTATGGAAAATAAATCTGAGATTTTATTCATCTTGTTGACCAATCGCCATTGAATGCATTTAACGTTTGGCCCGTCCTGACTTTGCACTATAATATTTTTCAAAACTGGATAAGCATGTCATAATTTAAATTTTTCTCCAAGCTCAGTTCAATTCAAAATTCCTTATTCATTCATTCAAGTGAGGAGGTAACTTTCATTAAAATACTCACTGGATCCCTGGGTGGGCTCAAACCACCAACCTTTCAGTTAACAGCCAAAAGCGCTAAGCGATTTGGGCCACAGAGACTCTGGTAAATGATCCAGTTCCTCTCTCTATAATACTACAGTATATGTATAATATCAATACGTCCTGATCTGATCTTCAGCCGAGATCTACTTGTATGACGCTTATAAAATTATTTGATTTTGTTGGATGGTATAAAGGGGCAGCAATCCCAAAGTATGGGGGGCAAGACCACTTTGTACAAAAAGGTTTCAGATATTGCAGAAGCAAGAAATGCAACCTTTACGTCATCTAACAGGTCGACTGGATGATATAGAGAATTAAACACTACTTATTTATAGCAGCCTGTGTGAGGGTGTTTTGCCATAGTGAATAGAGAAACTGCTTTATCCTCAGCTTGTACAGTTTTTTTTAAATTGTAATTGTTAATTTATATGACACTGTACAAATTAAAATAGTTCTGGAACTCGATGCTAATTTGAATGTTGATAATGCCGGAGTGGTTTTCTTTAGTGCAATAGTAATAATGGTTACACTTTGAAGAGACGAAACTTCATTATTGCGCGGCTGAAAGTGATGAGAGATTTTTCCCTGCGCGCAAGCATTTTAATGTCCTCTACCCTTGTACGTGTTTTGCTTTAACACTTTTGAGGTCACTATTAAGTCATCCTGTTTTTATGCCTATGTTTAGTCACTGCTTTCGTTATAGTAGACTCATTCTGTTATGTCAAGTACAGTATTGTGGATGAGCAATCTGAGAGTCTGGGTGTGCTGAGAAAGCGTTAATTGCGTTGATGCCTTGGGTGAGAAATACTCATCGTCAGTGTTTATTCACCCTGAGTCCTCAAAAGGGATTGCCTTACCTTCTCCAGTCCTGTTGTGTCAAAGGAACAGCTGTGGACAAGAAGCAGGGAATTGTCTTCCCAGTCCGTTCTTGTTGTCCGTTTCTGTTTTTCCTTTTGAACACGATGGCGGCGCACTCGCAGTTTGTCTTTTAATAATCTGTGCTCTGTAACGTTGTCTTCCGTTTTCCTCACTAAGTGGCACCGTTTATATCAGAACGATGGTGGTAAAACTGGAAATAAAATCGGCATTTCCTGTTACCTTTGGTCAGCTGGACACAGCGGGTGTTGGAATCCTTTTTTTGTTATTTCCAGGTACACGAGTATGCTGCTTGTTTTATTTCACTGCTTTTTTAGCTGCTTTTTCCGTGTATTTTCCTGCTTATTCTTTGAATATACTCATGAAGTTCAAAGTGTGAAGTGAACCCAGAGAAATAGCTCCCTGTGACCTCTGCCCTTGTCGTGTCTCCTGTGAATGGGTTTGGTTCTGTCCAGCTGTGGACCTGACAGTACACGAAGCTCTAAATACGATTTGTTTTTGGTTCACTGATGAAGAACTTTAATATAAAGCGAAGTTTCTCTGGCATGGCAATCCCTACTATATATCTGAAGTGATGTGGGCTTTGCTACACCACGCTGCGTGGAGTCGAATGATGGAGCTGAAAATAATAGCTGCCTTGTCTGCTTTCATTGTCTTTGCGACTTCCCTCTAACAACAGGTTTAGGACTCTTCCAATCCCACAAGGATTGAACGACTTCTAAAACTACACAGCTGAAAGTTTACTGCCTCTGTTAGTTTAATTTTCGTGCGTATCCGGTAGAAAATGTACATTTCAGCTGTTCGGAAAGGTTGCGGAAGGGTCCAGATTTATGAGTTGCTATCTGGTCTCTAAAACATTTATTGAGGAACACTTGTAACAGGTAGTGTCGTCAGTATGTGCTGCAGTACACCACCTCTTCCACTAGAGAGTAGTCCCTCTATTTTTCTTCTAAAAGTTTGACGATTTGAAAATGTATTAATTGACCCTTCACGTAAAGCGATTTAGACACTTCCTAGAAGCACAATCATATCTTTTAAACCCTTGAACTAACAGAAGTATAATGTACTGTGAAAAACACTTAAGAACCTTATTCGGGCATTTACATTAGCCTGTCGTGCAAATGCACTTCAGTTCACCCGTTTCACTGTGTAGCTTTTCCTAACTCGACTTACACGAAGGCTAAGTCGCCTTACATCATAGCCGGACACTATGATTTGTGATTTTAAAGAATGAGGCAATCGTATACAATACTAAGCAAAATAAGTACCGAAACTGAAAATACATCGGTTTTGTCCGTGGCCATAGACAGGATATTCAGTTTTATATCCTATGTATTGGTGCTTAGATCTCTATTTTTGCCTTTGGTCTACATGGAGAATATACATAAGGTTTTCCTCGGAATTGATTTTTGGTCCGTAGCTGATAAACAGTCACCAGGGATCTGAACAGACCACTGCGAGTTATTTTTGCTGGACATTTCTGAAGGTCACCTACGTATTCCTCCCTATTTTTAACTGGGAAGGACACTGTAGGTATGGAGCTTTGATCACTGTAAATGAGCACGGTGTGGGCCTACGCTTTCTGTCACATCCCTTACATTCATAACCCCTTCATACTGAGAACCGCTAAATGTCAGTTCATTAGGAGAGCTGTGATGCTGTTTTTCCCATTCAAGCGCTATAGGAAGCAGCGCTTCATGTGGAAGCAATCAACTTTGGAAATCGTCGGCAACCCGATTACTTACTTAAAGAGTTTTGAGTAACTTAATTAGGAAGACTGAGCAGTCCTTCCTCTGCAAGACATCACGAAATGGCTGATAACAGAGCATTCCTCGGCGTTTTAAAAAAATATTCCTCTCTCCGCGAAAATACAATCCTTCCCTATACAGCCCATACAAGTATATAGTGGTATAATGTTGCCTTTAAAACAGGGATTTCTAATAATCATTCCACATAATTTTCAGTGCTTTCCTGCAGCTGTATTTGTATTTAACATCAGATAAACACTAGGAAGCATTCTTTCGACAACCACCTATGGATACAAGATTTTAAAAATAAAAATAGTTTCTATATTTTTAACGGGACTATTTTTTTGCACTCTTATGAAACAGCTGACATTACGTCCATAAGGGCGAGGTACAAATCTTTTACAAGATGATGTTTCACAATCAAATAGTCGCGGTATTGGGAATCGTTTACTTCATTTTTTTTATTGATTTCGTGGAAATGATCATACGATCGAACCAACGTCTCAGAATTTTCAATTTTCAAAACATCAAAAACATTAAAATCGACAGGTTGTTCCAGTAATTACGTATCAGCAAATTAAATCTTAAAACTATTAATTGCAACCATACTATGCAGTATCCATCTGAATTTGATACCGTTAAACTTCACATTACCTCAAAACTGGCAGCAATTAGCAAGAATCAAATTAGCAGTATCTTAGCAGTTCCACTGTTATGATGTGGGCGCTTAAGTAAATATTTGTATCTCTTTCACATTCAAGTGAGTTTCGGGTTTATGTTAACTTGCTTTAAAAAAGCTACATTCAGGTGTCAATTTTCTCAAAATTACGTCACTTCCCTTTGTAAGCCGAAACTCTACAACAGTTTGTAGTAGTAGTCGCCGAAGTAGTTGGACGGGGTGACTTCTTAACTAAGTTTTAAAAGTTTTGCACCGGTGTGATTTCGCCTGTTTTAAATCCATTGCGGAATAAAAGCCTCAATCTCAAAAACAAGAACATAGCAGCAATAAAACACAAATATATGCATTTTATATTTTTCTGCTTGTCTGAACGCTACAGGTAACTGCAAAAAATAGGGCATCCCTGTGCTCTTAACGTGTGTTAGGGACGGCAAAGCATATTTCGGAATCAGGTATGTGCAGCGTAATCTCGAGGAATAAAGAAGCATTTAAAAAAAACTGTAAGAAATGAATCGGGTTAAGATTTTTGAACCTTGGAGGTTCGCTTTACTGTGAAGCTTCAGCAAGGAAGATTTTTTTTTGATCGTTTCTTGAAGAAATGAGCGAAGAAGATGGGATTGTGTTTGGGTTCTGAGATGACAGAGGAGGAAAAGAGAGCCAGGATTCACAGTGACAAAATCGACCGAGATCTCTATGAGTATGCTAAGCAAGAAATGAACGTGGTTAAAATTCTGATGCTGGGTAAGTGATCAGACTTGCCTGAGATTTCGAAAAAAACAAAACGCCGGTTTTTGAACATTTAATGTGAATGCAGCTGTGTGCGTGGGTTTAAAGCGAGGGTGCTCTCTCATGTTCAGTAGCATATCTCAAACTGCGTTCCTGGGGCGTCTAGTGTCTTCTGTTGTTGTTGTTTTTTGTCACCTGAGATCTGTTACATAATTGGTCTAAGTGTTGAAATAACTACATCATTGTAATACTTCTTTGCCGGGCTCGCAAGTATTTCATAAGTATGTTTACCTTTAATGAAGCGAATGGTTTGAGTGTTCAGCTGTAATAGACCTTCAGCATACTAAATGCATGCATCTGCGAGAATTACCAGGTTAATCGTTTTGTGGACTGCTCGGATTGCAAAACAGACCTGTCCCTAGCCTTTCCAGGATCTACCTGAAACCCCTGCAAGCACACATTTTGGAAATAATGCCAGCTGCCAATTAGTTACCTATTCGAAGAGTTTAGTTATGAGCAATCTAGGTGTGTACTCATATTATGGGTTTCAGAAAAGTCGTGTATTCGTACATATTTCATATGAATCCACACAATTCAACAATATTTTTTACATCAATAGGAGCCGTAAGGCCACATGGTGAATACTCTAGAACCAGATAAACGCACTATATTTGGACATCCGAGCGCAACTGTGGCTGCCCGATCTCGCATAGCTAAGACATATGTGAACCAGCCTTTTAATTAAAAAAAATCTCTGGGTTCCCTGTACGCTAGAGCTTAGGGTCATGGATGTCCAAAACGCTGATGCTTCTCTTTGCCCTGAAGTGCGCAGCAGCGATTATTGGAAATCTGGTTATTCCTAGTAAGGAGGCTGCCTTCTGATAGCATAGGGCACAAGACTTGATATAGGACAAGTTTAGAGCGGTATTGTTATAGAGTAGAATTCCAGTGTGTCGGCAGGTTTTCTAGATCTCTTGAAAATACCTGTACCTGAAGATCTGCTAGAAGCATTCAGCCAGTTATGAGCTGATTGAGTTTAAGATCTGTGTTGGAATGAATAACCTGCGAAGACTCTGGCCTTCTGGGACAAGAAATGCCCACACCTGGTTTAGAGATGTGTCTAGCATGTGTTTGTTCAGTCATAGATGTGTATGTTCCTGTTCTGGGGGAGTTTGCAGTGCTATGTGATCCTACGAGTGGAAAAAGCCCATGCATGCTTGAGTTTCTGATTTCTAGCAGATGGGATTGCTGGCCAGTCAGGTGGGTTTTGTTCTGATGGTTGTCTTGATGGGTTTTAGGAGCTGCTGAGAGTGGGAAGAGCACCCTGGTGAAACAGATGAAGATCATCCACAGCCATGGGTTCACAAGGAAGGAGCTCATTAGCTTTAAGGTGAGGGTCTGGAGTTCTTTGTCATGGATGATCTCTGCAATGCTAAGCAAGGTTGTCTTCTCTTCAGTCTGGAAAAAGCCTCCAACATACTGAGACAGTTTATCCAACAGGCCACTTCAGGATCAACAATGAAATCAAGACCCAGGGAGATGGTTGGAAATTAAGAGTTACTGCTTTTAAACATGTCTTTACAAAAAGAATTATGGCTATCTGGAGCATTGTTTGTGTTATTCACACATGATTAACAGGAGCTTGGGAGTTTGGATTGTTTTTTTCTCTTGACTCCTTATCCCTTTAAAAACACTACAGTTAATTCCCTGCATTCTTGCAGCTCAAACAGAAGTGGGCATCCATTCAAATACATCCATCCATCCATTTTCTCACCTTCAAACTCGGAGGAGCCAGATCTTGGGAAGCAACGGGCGCAAGGCAGGGTACACCCTGGACAGGACGCCAGTTCATTGTTCATTCAGACACAAATGCACCAGGGACCGTTTTCCCAGAAGCCAGTTTACGTACTGTACCAGTATGTTGTTGCTCTGTTCGAGGATTCCCATATTTACAGGGAGAATATCCAAACTGCATTTGGCAGTGCTAACCACTGCACCACCATGCAGCCTTGAATTCAAATACAGTGCCAAGGAAAAATCTCATTTAGTGTTCAGACAAGCTGATATAACCATTTAATAAGCAAAGCACAACAGACAAAGCCCTTTTTATTTTTAAGCAATGCACAGTGTGGACAAATGCTAACTTCAACATTACCCAAATTGCTCTGAGACTCATAATGTGCCCAGGAGACAGAACTTCATTTAATCAGGAATACTAAATCACAGAGGGAGAGCTCTTAGTGCGAGTTTTATTTATTTTTGTTTATGGATTCCTTTGAGAAAGTAGGTCCTGTCGGTTTCATGATTATATGGTGCTGATATTAATGTATTTATGCACTTGTTTTGTATACCTGTATGTTGTTTGGAATTTGTGGTCAAATAGTTTGAGTGACTGTGAATTTCTAAAAATCACGTATAACATGCATTTAAGGTGGGGTTTTTCAAAGCCATGAAAAGGATTGTAATTTTAGAAATTATAGAGAAATGGTGAAATCATGAACAGTGAATTTTTTTAGGTACCAACTGCTGTTTCCTTTCAGGGTTGGGGCTTGAGTGAATTTAATATTTCAAAATGGACAGTATTTCAAGGTACTACTTCATTCATGAAACTGTGTAGTAGTGAGCTAATAACAGTTTGAAGAGCAAATATATCTGTCTTTAATAAAGTGTGACACCAGAAGGAGATTCATAGTGAAAGGTGCAGCAATAAATATGCCTGTCCTCTTCATTCGGAAATTCCATCACCAGCTCGTTTTGTACTTCATTCCCCCTTGTAGTACGTAGGTAAGCTTATTGATGTATAAAGGGTTAATCGGCTTTATTTAAAGTATTACTGTTCACTAAAGTCTAGCCAGGTGCATAATAGTGAGGCATGCCTGAGGCTCATCTGGTTAATCAAAGATCAAAGAACCCATAGCATGATATTCTGATGGTATTAATCTCAGCTTTAACAAGAGGGTGTTCTGGTCTTTTCTAAGGTGTTCTGCGTTGTGCTTTGTTCCATGTCGTAGAAACTATTGTTTTAAAAGATGACAAATGTAAAGGAGAGTTTTTTTGTTCCCCAAAAAGCTGGACATACTAAATTTCACCGTCGTTATTTGTGTAAAGAATGACATTACTTTATCCTATAAAGTGAAATCGGCAGATCAGCTCCGTAGTACTTAAATGTCAGGAATAAGTATTCCCCATCACCAAATTCCCAAGTAGTAAATGTGTGGGAAAGAGGGCAGTAGATAACTGCACAAGAACATTAGTTGGTTAATCACAAACTCTGATTCCTGAAGTGGAAGACCTATCGTTAATTAAACAGGTTAATATCTAATTTAGGTGGGTAGCTGCGTCAGCATGTGTAGGCTGCAAAGGAACAAGTCATAGGTTTATTCCATGCTGAAAAAAAGAAGAAAGAGAACACAACGTTTCGGCCGTGGAGCCTTCTTCAGGTGTGGCAGACACTTGAAGAAGGCTCCACGGGCGAGACGTTGTGTTCTCTTTCTTCTTTTTTTCAGCATGGAGTATCTAATGTAGCCCAGTGTACCTTCAGGTAGTAGTAAGATGTTAACCTGATGTTAGCCTAACCCTACAGGGGGGGATTGGACCAATTGTTTCATTCAAAGGGGGGTTTGGTTTTGATATGCGAGCATTTCACTGTAAAATACGGATACACACTTCGTCCCATTAGAGCAATCCATGCTGTAGGTGTTGCTGCCGAGTCCAAAAAAACCTCAGAGTGCTGAAAAATCTCCAACTTCCCTGCCAAATGAAACATTGTGAAGGATAGAGTGATGTCTTGGTTCTTAAGTATTTGTCAATGTGTACAGTTACAGTGAAATGTGTTTACTTGCAGACCGGGCAAGAGAGGGCAGAACAACAATTACACTTGAGTTCACAAGGTCAAATAGGGTGGGAACTACTCAGAGTCCAGGATTAGGAATTTGAATCCTTAGGTGTGTTTACATTAACAGAGAAGTGAAGGAATGAACATTCACAATCATGTTTTAGTATAGGTTTACATTTTAAACATTATGTTCTTATGAAACCTTTCCCCTCATTGTCTCAAAAAAATTGATGTCACCTTGCAGACACAGCCACAGTATTCAGCGGTGGAAATGCATTGAATGTATATCTGAAACCACTGGAGAAAATTCACAGAAAACATGGCACGCTCGCCAACAATGTCTTGAAGCTGTTGCCTTCCCATATGTCAGTCTGGAAATTGAATTCAAAAGAATTGTAATTGTATTTATTTGCTATTATAGTACTTTGTGGCGATGAGTCTGGTCATTTGTAAATTGACATGCGGTGAGTTCCACAGATCATAGCAGATGTAGTGCTGAATGGAGGAGCTCTTTCTTGCCGGTGTGGCTCATAAAGTCACAGCAGTCGTAGTTGTTCCAAGATCTGAGAGTGCTAAGACTCCTCAATCCCAGTGCTACTGTATGCTGGTAGCACTCAGTCAATGGTGCTGTGCTGCTTTGGACACCCTGGCTAATAGGCAAGTGGGATTGAGATTCCTTTGAATAGAAGCATTTCTTTAAAATACAAAGTATGGATGCTTAGGCTTCTATCCTGGAGGACATCCTTCCTGCTACATATGACTTCACCTCAGTGGACTGATTCTGGGACACGGGTGTAAATGATTGTAGTAGAGAACACTCCTCAGACATTAAGTGCTGAGGAATGCAGTACTTTCTCAATAATTCTCAACCTTTTCTTTGTACCAGCAATCAGTTCCAAAAGATCCTTTTTGTTTGCAGGAGAACGCCTATAGAATTCCCCCAGTGCAACTGTGCCTCTCTGGCTCTGTCTGTGAGGTCACAGCTGGGACTGGTCAGGATTGCTCCAGGGACCAGTGCCAGTTGCTCAATCCATAGGGGACAGAAATCATTGTGCAGCTATACATGCTTACAGCTTGTATAACATCCAGTACACCATATAACATCCTACCCTCCCCCTCTCTGTAAATATTTTCTTCCTTCTCTGTCACATCCTTTTACTTAATATAAAGTACAAGCACGTTTGAGCAATAAATTAGTTTGAGCAATAAACCAGCAACGTTGGACCCAGTTAAATCCCAAGTCCTGGTTTGCAGCTCTTCTTGAGGAATGGAGGGGAAAATTGTCTCGTAAACTAAATGGTGACACATTTGTTAATTCAAGATTCAGGAGTGGATCAATATCCTGGATTATTTTGAGCCTGTCGTGGGGAGGTGGGTGTGGGGAGCAACTTTCAATTTCTGAATATGGCATTTCACAATTACTGGTGTACTGTTTTCTCCCATATAAAACAGCCTAAGAACATTGCTGGAAGGGAGAGAAAATAGATCCATGTTGTGGAAGAAGTATTGGCTGATATATACATACCATGCCAATATTAAATGTGCGTTCACGTACACTTCGCTGCTATAATAAAGCAATTCACTGTTTCAGTTGTGGGCAAAGAACAGTTATCTATCTCTGGGCCCCAGTGAGAGGAGACCACCTCAGAGAAACAGAGACATCCGATTCACTACTACTGTGTCTACTGGGAACTGCCTGCAGTCAGAATGTAAAGCAATCCAGCTGTGAACTCTTCCTGTCCCCCTGTGCCCAGAAAAAGAGGCGACTCTGGGGTCTTCAGGAATGTGAAGATTAAAATTGCTCAGTACTTGCTGTGCAGTATGGAATGAAATGTTTTTTTTTTTTGGGGGGGGGGCAGCACCAATGCACAGTGTTTGTCCTGGCCTCAAACAAAAAAAAAAAATGTTCTTGGCAGGCAGCTATTAACGTACCGAAAAGATTACAATTCATGTAGAGTTAATTATTTTTGGAACAAGCGCAGGATTCCTTTTGTGTACTGAAAGTCCAAAGGTCTCTCTCTGTTCCCTGTGGTTCTGTACAGGAATGTGCTTTGCTGTTGAAAAAACATAGGCTTGCAGCCTGATATACAGTCCTGTCTCTGTCTTCCTCAACCCACAGAACCCACTTTCCCATTAACATGAGTAGATGAGGTGTGAACAAGTGGTGGAAGAGTCAGGTGCTGTTTTCACCCCTTTTGGTTCTTCCCACTGTGCTTTTGACAAGATTTCTTCAGCATTTTATAAATTGAAATTGCCTACAACTTTCACAACTGTTTGGTTTGGACATATTTCCTTGAAACTTCAAAGGGGGCAATGCTTTAACCTCATGGTTAACATTCCAGACAAGGGAGCTTGTTTGAGAAGATTCTTCTTGAACAGGTTGACAAAAATCACACTCGGATTCCAATAGAAAGGTTCTCAAAAGTGGCGGCTGTCCCTTTTGTCTGTTTTCCAAGTTCCTTATTTTCCCAGATTAAACAGGTCCTATGAGGTAGGATGATTTGTATTGGCGTTAAAACTCAAATTCAGAAAGCATAAATACATCTTCCGTTTAT